GATAGAATCTGTTTACCCCTTAAGTCTTTGCCTAGGAGGCCTTCTACAAGATAGCAGCCGGATGCATGTAACATCTGCCCAAGATGAGTATTTTTATTGAGACACCATCTCTAGCTTTTACTTAACCAAGAGCCCCAAGGCAGGGGTGTTTTATGTCAGAGTCATGTATATATATGTATATATATTTATAAATACATCTTTGGGAACAGGACTGTAATCATTAGCTGGATATATATATATATATATATATATATATATATATATATATATATATATATATATATATATATATATATATATATATATATATATATATATATATATATATATATATGTGTATATATATATATATATAGGGTGACATAAAATAGAGTCGAAAAATGAAATTTTTTGAAAATCAATGACCGCAAATGCTTATCCTGTTCTACAACATTCAGACAACCGAAAACCGAAAAGAATGTTCTGACAACCGAAAGAATGTTCTGCCTCTGATCGTCATTGTGGGAACTGTGAAAAAAGTTTTCAATGAAACTAATATTTCTTTCTGCGCAGTTGTTGATCACACTAAGATTGCAAACTAACTGGGTGAAATGTGTGTATGAATATAGCACTAAGAAATCACTTGAAGTGTGCCATATTCGAACAGATTTGGTGTAACCTGTAAGTATAAAAAAAAGCCAACTCTCCTTCATAATTAAATCCTCTAATTGACAATCACTGGTAACAATAACAGCAGAAGGAGCTTCTACAGAAATCTCTGATAACCCAGGAACTGGAAATTTTACAATTTTCTCAATGATTAAACACTTAGCATCTGCTTTCATATGAGGATCACCTAACGATAGTATGACAACTTTAGGAGACAAATACCATGTATGGTTACTCATGCTTTTCTAATGTGAGTTTCCAACTTCATAATCCCATTCTGTTTTAATTGTTTCAGCAATTTTGAATGTATTAAAATCATTTAGAACGACATGCTTTGCTTTGCCTTATTTAAGAAAGGCAGGTCCATAATAAATAGCAACAATAAATGCTACCCTTGAGACAATATGTTTCTTTTCAGGACTCAGATATTCAATGACTGTGGATGTCATATCGAGCATTAGAAAGTATATTGCATAGGTCATAAACCTTGCATTGTGACAGGTGCCAGGCTGATAGATATAAAAATTATTTAATTTCTTAGATTTAATGTTCAAGTAATACGCCAAACATTCAACAAGATACCTATAATCATTCCTAAAATAGTTTTATTTTTATTTAATATCTTTTATAAAAAAAGTATATTTATGAAAAAACTAATTTATTTTATATTACTGTTACATACTTGGGGAAGATTTCATGTTTTAGTGCTTTAGTTACAAACTTTTCAGACTTCAAATATAGTTTGCAAAGATCACAGATTTGCAGAGTTTCCTTTGAAATAGCCTTAAAAGCCCAAGTAATATTTATCTCGGCAATATGTTGTCTACACAAAAACCAAAGAAATGGTTTATCAATAAATCTTGCCATAATAGTTATTGCACCAGATTTCCATCCAGTGTTACTTACTGTGGTGTCAGAACAGAATCCTACAATAGCCACAAATTTTAAAATATTATAGGAGGCTCATAATACTTATAGCCATATCGATTCCCTTACCACTATCAGTTGGCACAACATCAAGTAAAAGATCGTCTTTGGTTTTAAACTCTGGACTAGTTACAGATACCGATAGTCTATCTGCAGTAGTTGCCTGTCTAGTGTTCTCCTCAATATGCTTTAAAATTTTACCATTAAAATGTAAAACTAACATCTTGTTAGCCATTAAATCAATATATTCATATCTGTTAGAAGGTGACATTAAAGATTTTATATATATATATATATATATATATATATATATATATATATATATATATATATATATATATATATATATATAAAAAATCTGTAATGTCGCCTTCTAACAGATTCTCTGCTTAACTTTAGTTGTTTAACATCTCCTCCTAAATAATTTCCTATGCTTGCAAAAAGGGTTTGATCTTGAATGCTGAGACCGGCTCTTATACTGGTGGTATACCAGTATAAGAGCCGGTCTCATTGCAGCGACAACAAGTTGTTGCTGCAATGAGACTCTCACTGATTATCTCCTTTTCTACTCTAAAGCATGCTGATCTAAACTGATGCCTATTTTTTGAGCTTAACATTTTTATTTGGGACAAAAATTTCTGACTCAGCAATTACACTTCCAGCATCTAAATTAATATAAAGATTTTAAGCTCAGTTATACTATTTACTTCAAAAAAGTAATAATTTTACCTAAAATGCCTGTGCATTATTAGAAAAAATAGTTTATATTCTTTCTTTTTATTTAATCAGAAGTTGAAATAAATATTTTTATGTGTTAAAAAAATTATACTTTAATATTACTTAAATGTGATTCAGCTCTTGTTTTTTTAAGTTCTGTAGGTTCTTCATTAGCAAAATTGAAATCTATATGATTGTTAGAAAAAAAAGTTATGGTTCCATTGTTTTTTTTCACCAATTTTCTCTTTTTTATCACAAATTATTGAATCGTTGCTCTTCTGTGCTTGATCTTTGTATTCTTCTTTCCTCTTGCATCTATCAATCTTTCTCTAAAACATTGCTTCAAGCTCTGTGTCAATTTTAAAAGTTATGATCATATTTCTGTTAGTTCTGCGCAAAAAGTTAAAACACTTAGCATAAGATAAATTTGAATAAAAAAACAAAATTTCTCAAAAAAATATTTTTTTTTATTTGGGAAAAATGAGTAGATATGTCATTTCAATAGGTTATATCTTTGCAAAAAAATTTAAGCAAAAATTTAATCATCTAAGAAACCCAAAACCTCTTGTAAATCAGAAGGCATTGATTCATCGTGTCTCAAAATCTTTTGCACTGATGTCAAACAATTGCTCTACCATATTGTAAAAGTCATTTTTGTGGCGTGCTTGGAAATTTGAAAGATTTTACTGTTGCACAAAATTTTGTATTTGCTGTACAGAGATTTAAACTTTTCCACTATACTTCTCTCAGAAATCAAGTAATAACTGAAACCAGCAGACTTCCAAATATTTACAATTTGTCGGAGTAAACAGTATTTTTCGGTATTTGAATTACAAAACTTTTCTTTCCCTTTGCATATAACATCTTCTCGTGCTCAAGAGCATCAAATGTTTGTTTTATTAGGAAGAAAACTTGTATTCGATGAAGGTTGGTTTGTAGGTAGATAGCTGCTTAAAGGCGAGTTAAGCAGGTAAACAGACATACAAGCATTATAGCTAATTTCTTTTGTTTTCCTCTCTGATTTTCAACATTTTGTACGGATATGTAAATGTAAAAAAAAATCAAAGTTTAAAGCAAGATAATTAATAAAGTTGCCAAGTGATTAAACGCATACCACAAAATTTATGCTGCAATTAAACTTTTATTAAAATAATTCTGAATGACCACAAATGTTTTAGAAACATCTTGAGTTTTTAACATTTTTGAAACAACTTGCTGAATGATGTGAAGATATATATATATATATATATATATATATATATATATATATATATATATATATATATATATATATATATATATATATATATATATATAACATATAAATATATTATATTTTATACTGCTGATTTAGATGAGCAGTCTGATGTCATACTGAAATATCCTGCTGTCGGGGGCTTCAGTACATACATCAACTGGCAAATAGCCTGACTCGCAGCAGAGTGCTGCTACAATGAGTGTTTGGCATGGGGCAGCAATTTTTTCATTCATTATTCTTATATAAAAAGCCGTATGGATTAAGATAAGCAAAAAAAGTATTTATATAATTACGCTATAGAAAATATATGTATAAACATACTCTTATATATATATATATATATATATATATATATATATATATATATATATATATATATATATATATATATATATATATATATATATATATATATATATATATTACTTTTAGTACAAATTCAATTTTTTTGGATTTTATATAGTCTTGTACTTTATGTGAATGCAACAAGGTAAGATCAGGCCAGAAAATGATACTGTCATCTTTATGATATTTGAAATGAATTTCTCTAAACTGACAAGATGTTTTGAAATAGAGACATTTTTGTTAACTGCTTGGCTCGATGGAGCTATGTAATGCTAAGAAACACATCTTTTTTGCTTTGTGACCACTGCCAACTTTTCTTTTGAGTTCTATATCATTTTCCTTTGTCCTATACTATGTTTTCCATTCAAAAATGATTTATGATAATGCTTATATTTTCATCTGGATTCAAATCCAAAAATGTGTACACTCATTTTCTAAACAAATTTTTGTTAAAAGCTTTTTTTTTTCATTTTAAATAACTAAATAAAAAAAATTTATTAATACATATAGAGTCAAATTTGTAACTAAATGGGAATGATTGCAATTATATTAAATTATTCCTTCGTATTTTTAAGTTAATAAAACTTTGCCCAGAGTTTTGTTTATCTCATAAGACATCACAATCAATGGAGCATCTTTTTTGAAAATCTGAATTAAAAACAAAAAGAACTTACTAAGTTATTAATTATCACTTTCAGCTGTTATAGTGTATGAGAAGACAGAAATACTAGTACAGATAAGAACAAAGTATTTATTACTAATTTTAACAGGCGACTAGAGATGATCAAATAGGTATATTATGAATGTTAAGCTGAAACATAAATATAATTCATAGCTAAACTAATTTTATGTTTAATGCATGACGGAAGGTTGTTAAAGGTTCAAAACTATGACAACGAAAACTAATACTTCATGTATATGTCTACTTGTCTAATTGAATCTAAATAAAATCAATTTTTTTGGCAGTTAATGTAACACATTTACTATCATTATTCAATCTAATACCTTTAAATTTATTTACTATTTTTTCATTAATTTTATGCATCATAATCATTATCATGAACATTATATATTACATTATCTTAATTTAGATTTTTAAACTAACCTGCAATGTCACCTCGTTCTTTAGTTATTGAATCAGAATAATATATCAAAGCAAAGTAGAAGGAACTTGGATCCTAATTTAAAAAAAAAGGGGTTCGGATCCTGATTTAAAAAAACAATTTTCTGTTAAACTAAACTTTACAAGTCTTATTGTTTAAATAGCTTACTTCATTATCATATTGAGATTGACATAATAACCAATCTTGAAGAATTAGATATAGATCATTATTTGTGTTTGGTGCAATCAATTGCTCCATAAATTCATACGAGCATATTACACATTTTATAGTAGACACTAAATATCTAGAGATAATAAACTTAATAAATTCAATGCTTTGTATAACAAAAACTATATAACTATAGTTATTACAATATTAATTACAATATCATGAGTGCAATAACAGGTTAACTAATGATTATACAACAATTGTTATTACATCATCAACTAAAAGATCTTTGTATAATAACAAGTGTATGGTGGTATAAAAACAAAATAATCATAACAAGAAAATCAGTCAAAATCACAATCAAAATGGTGTCATTGAAGGAAAGTCATAGTTTCAATTAAAAAATAATCATTGTGTCATAACAAGATAATAACCATACCTATCACAAGGTAATAATGTTACAACAAAACTATAAAGGTGTTTTGTTGTAACACGATTATCAAGGGCAATATTAAAAAGATTATCTCAAAAGTGAAAGTGATCTGAAATAAAGTGGGAACTCTGATTTAATAGTAGCATTTATCTCGGTGGTTACAATTTGTAGCATTTAACTCAGTGGTTACAGTTTGTACCATTAAACTCAGTGGTTAGAGTTTGTAGGATTTAATTTTGTGGTCACAATTAGTAGCATTAAACTTAGTGGTTAATAAAATTGAAATTGTTAGTATTTCTTTTTAATAAAATTAAAAGAAATACTAACAATTTCAGTTTGAAAATTATTGTTAAAAGTCAATTTTTATGAATTTAAAAAGTTCAGAGCAGATGTGCAAATCAAAGACCTTTTTTTATTTTATTCTCATCAACTTTTTTCACGTATTTTAGACATTTTTTTGTATATTACAACTGCCCACCCCTAATGACCATTGTTATGCTGTTAACTAATGTTGTAATATGTAATAAATTAAGGTAACTTATGATAAATTATGGGAAATTATGATAAATTATGTGGTAGTGGTGTAGTGGCAGAGTGCTCGCTTCATAAACGAGTGGTTCCGAGTTCGATCCCCACCACGTCTCTGGTAGTACCGCGCTCAACTCGTTTCTCCGCGCAGCGGCCTTGCTCGTCAAGGTTCGTGTTTCGGAGTTATAGAGTTGAGAGAGGGTTATAACCACAAATAAGTAGCCTCCTCGTCTGTAGTGGCCTTCTCGGCTTTGAGGAGGTGAATTAAAATAAAAAAAAATTAAAAAAAAAAAAAATAAATAAATTATGGTGGTAAGTAGCATGTCTTTATATATTGTTATCTAGGTAAATTATAGATGGAACTGAAGAGACATCAAGAATGAGAGTAAAATATAATCAATTTCAAAAAAATATCTTTACATAACAAGAAAGAAATTTCTTAAATGTGAAAGGTAAATTGTATAACACATAAGAATATAAAGAGGATATTCAAAATCTATAAAGAGGAATTTGATACCTATAAAAATGATATTCATCATTTACTAATTACATTTTATTTAATATTTATAAAGAGGATATTTAACATCTATAAAGAGGATATTCAGCATCTATAAAGAAAATGTTTGATATCTGTAAGAAGGATACTCAACATATATTAAAGTAGATGTGTGTTGAAACTCTAAAAAATGCATGTGGTAGTGGTGAAGTGGTAGAGCACTTGCTTCATATGCAAGAAGTTCCAAGTTTAATCCTCACCAAGTTCCTGGTAGAACTGCACTCAACTTGTTTCTCAGCACAGTGGCCTTGTTTGCCAAGGTTTCGGAGTTAAATAGTTAAAATTGAGATATAACCACAATAAAGTAGCCACCTCCTCTTAACATTAGAAAGGTGAATAACATTTAAAAAAATATAAAATAAAAAATGTGGAAATCTCAGAGCATATACAAAGGTTATGAAGTGCATTTTACAGATTATTCTAAGTTAAGTTGGCTTGAACATTTAGAGAAAAAAGGAGAATATAACAGAGATTACAATACAGAGAATATAAAGGAGAATATAACAGAGATTACAATACAGTGAATATAAAAAAGAAAAAAACAGTGATTTTAATAAAGAGAATATAGAGGAGAATATAACAGAGTTTACAATACATAGAATATAAAGGAGAGATTATAATACAGAGAATATAAAAGAAAATATAACAGAGATTATAATACAGAGAATATAAAGAAGAATAAAACAGAGACAAAGTTATAAACAGCAACTTAATGAGAAATAAAAAATCAATGCACATTTAAAACTTTTTCTAGCGCATTTTTTTGTATTTATAAAAAAAAGTAGAGCTCATTGTAAATTGAATTAATCTGTAAAATTTACCTTGACAATGTTTCATTGCCTGTTGAAAAATGCAAAAACCCACTGTCATAGGAAATAAAAACATCTTGAAAATTTAACCCCACCTAAAAAAAATAGTTTGTTATCATAAATCAAACAAACAAAAAACATTACTAATATTTTTATAAAAATTACCTTTATTTTATTTATGGAACCAATATTTATAGTTATAACTTTTTCGTAGTCATTCTGACCTAAAATAATCTTTATTATAAACAAAATTATTTAATTAAAGCTGAAACAACAACAAAAATAAGTAATTAAATATCAACTACCTTTAGGTCGAAGAAAATACAATGTAATGTTTGAAATCAACAACAAAATTGGAATATCATAACCCGCAAGAAATGCAATATTAACTTCAAACATCTACATTAATAAATCAAAGTAACTTAAAGTCAAACCAATTATACATTAATATGTATTATAAAAATGATATATTTGAAATGATGACAAAACTCTATTATTATATTTATTAACCTTACCTTAACAAAAGATTCATTTGGTTGTTGAAAAACTTTAACAGATAAAACAACCTTTGTGTTTTCAGATAATCTTGAAAAAGAAAAAGTTTATGAATAAAATTAAGTAATATATAAAAAAAATAAAAAAAAATAAAAAATTAAAAATAGTTAAAAATGAAAATAAATATATTTTAAATTTAGTACTTGCAACTCAAATAGATTTACTGAGAGAAGAGGAAGAAGAAGAAAAGGAGTTTTAAATTCTTACGTTAAATGTTTTAATAATGTCAAGCTGACTGCATATCAAAACATGGATTGCCAATCATTTTGTTGCAGATGAATAGAATGACTTGAAGAGCTAAGGTGTATTTGAAAAAAGTGTACTAGAAAAAAAAAATTGTTGGCTCTTGATCTTAGGAAAAAATTGTAAAAGACTGTGTAAAAAAAAATTGCAGGGTCATACTAACATAAACCAAATATTCCTCAAGTCTGTTGCAAAACAGTTTACTTAAGTTTGTTGCAGGGATATACTTTAAAAGTGCATTTGCTTATAAATTTTACAAAAATTTTTCTTATTAAAATAAATTTTCTTATTAAAATAAATATTAAAATAAGTGTTTGAAAAAATACAACTCAAAACAGTAAAGATTACTTAGGTCTGCTTATATGAAACTATTTAAACAGAAATGAAAGATATAGTGCCAATTACGAAATTTATATTTTACATATTTAGTAAGCTATGTTATTAACATTCTCTACTAATTGTTATACTAATTTAGTAAATTGCCTGGTTTCTCTGATCTAAAAGATAATCTTAAAATTATCTTAGCAATTTTAGTTAAGACAACTTGTGGCTAGAATTAATTTTAGAAGGTTTTTGTTAGTAACAAACATTTATGTGAAGCTCATTCTATAAAACAAAGTTCTAATTTATGCCATAAAAATGTTAAGAACATGTGACACATTTATACAAATTCTTTCTTTAACAAAGAAAAAGTATTTTTAAGTAAATTGTTACTTTTAGGAGTTTTAAAGAACATTAAAAAATGATATAATTTTGCAGATACAAATATAATGTAGAAGCAAATGTTTTAAATGAAAAGAAAGTTTAAAAAAAAAAGTAGCTCAAACAAATGGCAGCGGTAAGAATGTCCTTTTTTTTTAAATACGAGAGCTCAGGAGGCTTATATATGTATGTATGTATATATGTATGTATGTATGTATGTATGTATATATGTATGTATATATGTATGTATGTATGTATGTATGTATGTATGTATGTATGTATGTATGTATGTATGTATGTATGTATGTATGTATGTATGTATGTATGTATGTATGTATGTATGTATGTATGTATGTATGTATGTATGTATACACATTTATATACATACGAAACCAAAAATGTTTAATATAATAAAATTATTATAAAAACTGAACATTCCTATACTTAATTAAAAACAACTCCAATACTCTCAAATAAAGAAAACTATAAATATATAAATAATCATTATTTTTATTATTTATGAAATTTTTAATAACTTTTAAATATTTATATTTCTCTTTACCGTTAACAGCAAATACAAAACTTCAATTCATACAAAAGTAAATAGAACAAACTAGATGCAAATAGTAAGAATGAATGTACAAATGTATGTAGATAAATATAGTATAAACCAATGAATCAAATGTTATATACATTTCAATTGAAATGAATTAAATCTTTCATAAGATACTTACTCAAGCTCAAGCAATCTTTTGGCATCATTTTCTGAAGAAGGACGCTTAGGTAAACTTGGTAAAAGTATTCCTGTAAAAATTAAAACAAATAAATTTTTTATCTCAAAAGCTTATAGTGACAGTGTATTATTATTAAAACATATATGGTGTACATTTTCAAAACATATATCTACATGGTGTACTATTATCAAAACATATATCTACATGGTATATAATTATGTATGATTAAAATATAAATGATGTAATTTAATAACATAAAGCAAATGATTTAGATACAAATATTTGATGTAATACAACTAAAAAAATACTTGAACTCTAAATACTTTTCATACAAAATAGAATTACCATTTTTTGTATTAAGTCTTGCTGCATCAAGTTTTGTATTTAACTTTGGTATATTATTTTTGTTAAAGGAATATGATCGCTCACATTGAGCTACTGTTGCGACAGAAGCTATATAAATAAAACAAGCAAGAAAATGTTTAAATACAAATAAAACATATGTAAAAACAAAATTTATTTATTTATAATTTAGAAGATACAAAAAAAAAAAAAAAATTGAAAACCAATTACCAAAAAAAAACCCCACAACTTGTTAATAATATCGTCCAAGTTACAACAAATATGAATAAGATTAGTCAATTTTTATGGACTGAAAGAGTTTTACATCAAAAAGTTGTCAAGCAGTCAAGTTGTCAAGTAATAACAATAATCTAAGTTGAATCAAATTTTAAATGAACAAGACTTCATTTTCTTCTGTTTTAAATTAGGTTTAGCATAGAGAACTTTCAAAATTAGCTCAGCTAGATCTTATAAGTAGTAACAATTTAAATAGCTTCAAAATCTAGCAGCACAGTTCACAAGCTTATTTTGTAGCTTCACAAACCAGTACAGAAAACAATACTGATAGCATCACTTAATATTGGCCATTTGAATGTATATCTTAAATTCATTTCCCTGATGAGTTTTATGATTTTTATAGCTTTTTACTTTAAATGAAATTAAAATATCCTTGTAATCAGATAAAAAGCACTAGCTTTAAATAATGGTGGTACAGTAACATTTCTCTAAATATTTAAAAAAGGTTTTGCATGGCCATCAAATTCAGAAAACTTACTATTGTCAGGAAAAAACTAGTTTGTTTGTTTGTTTAATCAACAAACGAATTCAAGGTAATACGACTAAGTGTATTTTTTTTAAATATTCAAAAAAAATTCATTTCCAAACATACAAAGTTTGGCATTTATAAAATTTTAAACTTTAATGCATTAGAGTATATATAAGAATAAACTATATAAGAATAAGACATATATAAGAATAGATTTTTGCAGGGCTGTGGAGGCGGAGTTGTGACATTTTTAGCAGAGTTAGAGTTGCTAAACAAAATCGCAACTCCGACTCCAATAGTAATACTTCTTTGTATTGCACCTGCATGTACAAAACATTCAATTAATCTTATGTTCATACTAAACCTCAAAGAATGTTTCATAAATATGTCAAAAAAAAAATTTAACTTATGGCGTAGTATTTTTTAAAGAATTCAAAGAATTTTTCAAAAATTTGCTTTGGAGTTAGAGTTGGAGTTGTAATCAAAAAATTTCAACAACTGGAATTGGAGTCAGAGTCGTTAATTTTTTTTTACGAATCTACACCCCTGGATTTTTGCTGTTAATACCACAAGTCTTTCGGCAATCTATATTTAAAACTTACACCTACCTGCCAATAACTTTTATAACCAAATAATAGCAGAGTAGTAGTCAAATAGCAGTGATTAACTCAGAGAGGGAGGGGTTATGTTCTTGAGGTTACCCACTTCTCTCCTATTTAAAACCGGTGCTGCGACAATAATTTTTAACCATCATTTTTTTAATCATCGTTTTAATCATTTGTGTTTATCTTGTTTAGTTTTATCTGAAGATAAGGAGTTGATTTGAAGGCATTTCTTTGAATATATACTGAAAACTGTTTAAAGTATTTTAAACATTTATTAAGTATATTTTAGTAAATTTAATATTAATAGTTATTGTTTTAAATAATTAACAATTAAATGTTTAAATACTTTAAACAATTTTTAATCAATATTTACATTACATAATATATTTATATACATTAAAGCACATAATATTTGTAAAATTGACAAAACATTTTTACACCTTGTACTCAAACAACTATTATTAAGTATAATTTTTAAAAATTACGTTTAATAAGGTTAATTTAATTATAATTTAATAATAAAGTTACATTTACTATGGATTTTTTTAAACAATAAAGACATTGAAGTTTAAAAATAACTCGATCTTAATAAAAGTTTTATTAAGTTATTGCAATCGCTATTTTTATTATTAGTCAAAAAGAATATGGAAAAGAAACAAAACTTTCTGAAAAATTTTACTTTTCATATTTTCATTTTCCTCATGTAAACTAAATATCAAAAGTTCATTCATTCAAAAATTAAATTAGTGTGAATAGGCAAAAAAATTAAGTTTGCATGACTGTTTTAAGACTGAAATTTTTTACTTTTGATTATTTATTATCAAAAGCAGTTTTCTCTTAATTGCCAATAAACAAAAGTTAATTTTACAATGAATGCATATTTTAAAATTGTTCTATATTTCAAAAAAGCAAACTTTTCATACACTCTATTGTTATAAAATTTTGTAACGCCCATACCGCTCCAGTGACACTAAAACAGGTCTGGGTTTGTCTCTGAATAATTAGAGTGGTAATCAAAAATCTCATAAAATCTTTATTTTGTGTGTAAAAACTATTGTTAATAGAAACCAATCAACTATTTTTTACAATATACAAAGAAATATTAGTATTGTAAAAAATATTCTGAATTTTTGAAGTACATACTTTATGGATGGTTACTTACTAGATATTAGCTCAAACCTAATTCTATTTTATGAATTTATTATCATAAAAAAGCTTTATAGAGGTAATATTTTCAGAAGTTCTTTGTTTTTGATGATAGCTAATATCATTAGTGCCATCTTTGTTATTCTCTTTTTGATAGCTTTTTTTTCTTTCTTTATTTTATAAATATAAAACTACTAAAAATGATTTTTCTTGATTTTGGGTCCTACAAATAGACTAACTATAAAAAAATAAGAAGCATTTTAATATAAATTAAAAGATAACACTGCATAAGTGTTACTTTAAAGAACACACAAAAAAAACTCATAAACATTTAAAACTAAAAAAATAATATAAGAAAAAAAAAAAAAAAAAAAAACATACAAGAATTAGGAATAAGCTCATCTGTAGAATCACTCGAACTCCGACAAAACTTGTCAAATGAATCAACTCTATGCAATTCATGAATTTCGTCTGATATTGAAATTTCATTACCTAGTAAATACTTAAAGAATAATAGAACAAAAAATACATAAAATTTACAAACAAATAAACACACAAACTAGTGAACACAAGATAAAAAAACTGAAAAGCATTTGAAAAAAAAAACAAAACATAAAAGCATAAAAACCATAAAAGATAGCAGAAGAAAAAAATGATTATTACAGAAAAGAAAAAAATACCTACAAAACAATCAAAATACACACAAATGAGTGAAAAAAAAGGTAATGTAAAAGAAAAAACAATGAAAAACATAAAAGATAGCAAAAGCAAAAGATAAAATGTTATAGAAAAAAAACAACAACTGAATTGAATTAAATACAAACACATTAGTAGAGTAAAGAAATCATGATAGTAGCCCATTAATCAGTTGATTAAACAAGACATTGGTTGAGTAAATAAGACATCATCAGATTAAGATATCAGAAGAGCAGGTGTAAATTTTAAAATAAAAACTTCAAGAAACTTTAAAGTTAGAAAAATCATTTCTTTAATATTTTAGAACAAATTTAAAAACAAAAGGATTTAAAAAAACATTTTTTTAAAAAACAATTTAAACATTATGGAAAATTAAGTTAATATATAATAATTATTATTATGCATTTCTCCCAAAGGAAAATTACTTAACTATTACGTGCGTGACTCCCAAAAGATAACTAAATAATCCATCAACAAGTAAAAGAGAAAAAACTTTTAAACAAGTTAAAAACCAAATAAGTATTAAAAAGTTATAGAAAAGTTAAACAAACACACAGAAATTAAAAAAATATATATAACAATATACTGTATTTAAAAATATCACATAATGAACTAATTGTTAAACAAACAAGAAATAATGAAACGTCAGTTTGATAACCATATAGAGAGAGTGGTGTTTATAAATCTCAGGATAAGACAAACATAATTCAATTGTAAATGATGCCTTTAAGTCTTGCCTCTGAGACACCTGTGACACTATAGCACACAATCACAGAAAGGAACTGGTCACAACAGACTTTATATTCTGTGGGCAAGAGCAACAGGAAATAAGATCCACTAAAGGAACCTTAGAAAGTGCTTATGCCTTACCTGCACATCAAGTGATCATATTTGGTAACCTGATCATATTTAAACTAATACTTCTACTCCAATTCTGGGACTTTTTATACATCTCACATACATTGACAATTTAACTTTGGCGATTGACAGTTAACTAAAAGTTTCATCATCTCACCTTTGAATTTTTTTTGTTCTTCTTTTAACATTATTAGTTAATATGCTTTATTAATTTACATCTAATTTTATCACAAGTTTTGTGAGCCATTGTTTATACCTTCACCATAATTTCTATATCCTGTGTATTATCGATATTCCTATATTGATGAATGGCAACCCTCTCACTGATTCCTGTTCTTTATGCCTTCTTGGGTTATCATTTACTACTGACCTATCATGGAAATCATGCATACAATCGATTGCTAAATTAGCATCTGCTAAGGTTGCTTCTCTTTATCATGCTCACCATTTTCTCTCTACTGATTCCATTCTCTACCTCTACAAATCTCTTATTCCTCCCTGTATGGAATACTGTTATCATATTTGGGCTGGTTCTACTAATGATCTTCTTTCTATTCAAGATAAGATCCAAAAACGCATTGTAACAGAGTTGGAACTGGTCTATCTGCTAAGCTTAAGCCTTTTTCCCATTGTCTTAAAGTTGCATCTCTTTCTCTTTTCTACAAATACTATCATGGTTGCTGCTCAAAGGAGCTTTCATCTCTAGCACCATCAACCAAAACTCATTCTCACTTGAGTTGTCATTCATCAAAATCTCATTCTATTACTGTATCTGTCTCTTCATGCTCCAAAAACTTTTATTTTTCTAGCTTATTTCCCCGCTCTTCAACCCTTCTGAACTCTGTCCCATTTTCATGCTTTCCTGACTCATACAACCTTCAACTTTTTAAGTCTTCTGTCAACCGTTTCCTTGCTCTATAACTCTACTCTTTTTTTCTAGCAACTCCCAACTTGATAGTGGTTGCTTTCAGCCTTATTGGGAGTAAAAAAAATATAAATAAAAATGCTTAAATAGGTTACTTTTAAAGCTTTTGCCTGTAAACAAAGTCAAAATAAAAATTTATCCAAAAAATTCTAAGTAACGCATAAAGTTTAGTTTATTTATTATTTAATTATTATAATAATGCAGGATAAAAATATTGAGCATAGGGTTGAACTGAATGAATATTTTAACAAGATTTCATAAAAAAAAAAAAAAAAAAACTATCAATGTGTCCTAAATAAAATTAAATTTAAAAAATATATATTATTTTTTATTAAACAATAATAAATTCATTTCTCGACATGAATTCTTCTGTTGTTCTTTGAAAGAACAACAGAAAAATTTTATTTTGGATGCGCTTTAAGTTACTTTGAATGGTAAAATAGTTTTAAAAATACCTGCACATAATTTCATTTAAATATTTAAAAATAAATAAAAAAAAACTAATTTTTTAAAAATATCTTAATAATGTCCTTACCAAAACCTTTAGTAACTTCATCAATCTGTTGTAACTCTTGATTCCCTTCATCAGGTTTCAAGTTGTTTAGAAAACTTTCATAGTCTACCTAGTAACATATTCACAAAATAACAGTCTAAATCTATATATATATATATATATATATATATATATATATATATATATATATATATATATATATATATATATATATATATATATATATATATATATATATATATATATATATATATATAAATATAAATATAAATATAAATATATATATATATATATATATATATATATATATATATATATATATATATATATATATATATATATATATATATATATATATATATATATATGTATATATATATACATACAAATATATGAATGTATGTATATATATATATATATACACACATATATATGTATAAATATATATATATATATATATATATATATATATATATATATATATATATATATATATATATATATATATATATAAATTTCTTTATGATAAAAGTTTTTATTTCTCAACAAATATTAATTTATTTACATCAATTATTTTAAATAAGTGATTTATATTTTTAAAAAGAAATAATTTCTAATTTAAAATTATTCTAAATTACTTTAACAAGCTTAGCAATATTATAAGTAAACAAACTGCAAATGATTTTTAACTTGGTTTCAATAATAAAATCATTTGCGCTGAAACTTTTTATGTAGATGTCAAGAAGCTGTTATGGAAAAAGAAACATAGCCTAATGGTCGTAACCTACTTTATTACATCTTAATACTATCAACTAAAGCTCTTTTTAAAAAAAAATTAAAACAATGATAAAACTTATATCAGTATCTTTACTTTTACTATATTTTTAGCTTTATAAAGTCTGATACGAAGCCAGGAAAAAACTTCTTGACTTTTTTTTGTGACAGTCCTAACCATTAATTTGAAAAACATAATATTCTACATAATGTTTAATATTGTCTTAAACTTAAAAGTTATAGTTACATAAAAATGCAGTACATTAACCTTTTTCAACGCTTCACAACAGACTATATAAAAATATTAAAAATTGTTTATATAATCTTTACAACTTTAAAACAATGCTATGGTATGATAAAATGATTTTTTTAATCATTTTTTAGCTTAAAAGTATTCTTAAATAGTTAAATAAAGAATTTATTGAGGTTAGCAAATGTTTTTCTAACTTTATTTATTTTATTTTTTTCCTCTTTCTCGCGGAATAGCCCATATATATATATATATATATATATATATATATATATATATATATATATATATATAATATATATATATATATATATATATATATATATATTATATATTAAATTTTGAATAAAATTGTGTTGAGAAGCTTATAGATTCCTGAGGCAACATGAAAATATTATGAGCAGTGGTTCTCTAAAAAAGTAGCTCGATAAATCGATATCTGAGCTTGTTGGTACTTATGATATATTTAATTTGTAGCAATTTAATCTCGATAAGAATTTTTCTTGTTTTCTAACAATCAGCAAGTTATATAGAATTTACTGATTGCTTGATTCTATAGTAATTGCTACATTGTACATATTAAATATACATAGGTATATATATTTTTTGTGAAACAAAAAGTAATATCTTACTCTTTTTACACAAAAAATATACATACCTATGTATAGTTAATTATACTTATAAACTCTGATTTACTTTAATTTTTGGGTGGAATTACAAGGAAGTACTACGTTAAGCTTACTTTGTTGTGCTTTCTGAGGGCAAGTATAAGTTTTGTACTCCCTAACAGTCCACCATGATTGCTTCATGGAAAAAGGTAGAGAATTGTAGCTTTATGGCAAAAGGAAGGATTTTGTTGCACATTAACTAATACTTAGCTTTTTAATAAATAAGTATATATAATAAATTCATTTTTGGTATCTACTACCTAAAGTTCCAGCTTTTGATGGGTGAAATCTTATGAGATTAATGAAGTGGCAACTTTTGTGGCTGCCTTCTAAACTACTGGTTTTTTAAAGTTGAACTAGCCTTGATTGCTCCATGTCAGGTAAGTATCAACTTAAAAAATATAAAATGCGTAAATATAGTATACAAAGATTCCAGTGTGAAAAAAATGATTTTGATAACTAATAAAGCATAATTTTTTCTAAACAAAAAATTTAACAACTTTTTCTTTCATCTAGGATATAAAATCTCTTTAGGAAATAAGAAGTTAAATCAGATCTGAAGCTTTAAATCTATAAAACGACACAGATAGTTTATGGACTCTTATCTTATTGTGCTAGGCTTAGCTGATAAATAGATGTGAAGAAAAAGGTGAAATTGCTAAAACACTATGGGTGAATATCCATCAGCCTAAATGAGAGCAAACATAGAGGTCCTCAATTTTTTAGAGATCAGTGGATTGAAGCCGCCAAGCTTAGTTCAATTTGTCACAGAAATTTTGTGACTCTTGTTCATTATGATAGCCCAAAGTAAAAGTAGCTGTCAATGGATGAACCCGCTTAATTCCATGTCAAAATACTGCAATTGCAAGCATTTGTACCTATAATTTCAGGATACTGTTTCCACCTTGCTGTTGTTAATCATCGCTCTGAAAGAACTGCAGCCATAGCGTAGTAGTAGCATGATTGTGTCAGAAGCATATGAGCCTTGTTATAAAGCCAACTTTAGGCAAGTTTTATTACATTAGTAAAAAAGGAAACGTGCATTTCCTTTTAAATGAGCTTCCGCGGTGCTCTGTAATGAGACTGTTTGGACATCATGGATTCTTTATGCACTTAAAAATAGGTGAATTAAAAATAAAAACTGTTAAACTGTTAAGGACAACATTGATGTTGCAAGATGTGATTAGAAGAGATTTTGCTTTTATTCTTGAACAACTGCACAAGCAAGTATGAAGGAAAAAGCAAGACCACCAAGAAAAACAAAAAAACAATGAATAAATATAACAAAAAAATTTTTTTTAAATAATAATATAATAAAAAGTTTGTTTAATGAATTTGATTGTCGTTTTATGCAACATATATGAAGTGTTTCTTTCAAAAAAACTTAAAAATATCTGAAGTTACCATAATGCGTAATAAATTTATATTATATATAAATCTGTCCACAAAATCGCATTAATTTGCGATTTTGTGGACAGATTTATATATAATATTTCCCATAAATAAAACTACCATGAAACTCTTGAAAGAAAAAAAAAAAATTTTTTTTCAGTTTTAGAACTTGCTCAAATGTGCCAAAAATGGGCTAAAAAAAGGTTCAAAAGTCTAAATTATGACTTGAGCAACCCCTAAAAGTGGTCCAAATTAAAAATAAATAAAAATTCTACTAATAAAATAGGGTCTGTACTCCATGGTACTTTTAACTTTTTCATGACATCAAAATGAAGCAGTCTAATTATAAATAAATCACATTAGCTTAATGCGATATTTGACATCATAAAATTATCTTTATTTTTTTTATAGACGTTAAGTGTTTTAAATACCGCTATAAATAACCGCTAACTAGTTCCATTTAACAATTAACTCAAATAACTATATAAATAAATATAAATATTAATTTATTATGAAAAATTTGTTATGTTTTCAATTATTATTTAATATTAATTTTAGTTCAATATTATTTAGTAAAATAATATATATATATATATATATATATATATATATATATATATATATATATATATATATATATATATATATATATATATATATATATATATATATATATATATATATATTTAATTATTTCTGAAATTTGTTTTTAAATAATTATTGTTTATAAATCATTTTGAATAAAAAATTATAATGATTTTTTTTATTTTTAAAAATTTCTGGAGTAAACAAAAAATATTAACATTGATAAACAAAAACCTTTGTTAATTATATAAACAGCGATTTTGTTTTGACTAGCAAAGAATAATTTAGGTTTTTAAATATTTTTTAAATTTATGTTGCTTAGCATTTTAACTTGCGTTATATAAAAATGTGAAAAAGTGTCATGTCTGCTTTGAGCATATTTTTGATACATATTTAGAACGCGTTCGCCAGGAATTTAATTCATAAATTTTTTACGTTATCGTAAAAATGTTTTACATTTAAAACAAATCACAAAGAAACAGAGCTATAGAAAAAAATCGTTTTTAACGATTAAATCTTTTTTTATTTTTGAATTTTAGGAATTTAAAAAAATTAAATTAAATATAAAAGTCTTAATTATGTAAACTCTTTTGTTAATTATTCGTAAAACAAAAAACAAATACTTCTACACAAAACTTTAAAATAATGTAAGTATATTTAATAATTTGAATTGTATCTGTTTATAATAAACGTTCCTTAAAATTTTTTATTAAAAATTAAGTTCCTTAACTTATAAATAAACTCAAAAGTATTTTCATTCTACCTATTATTACAAAACTCTCTTTTTTTTTGTTTGTAAGCAATTTAACTTGGAATAATAAAATAAAAAAAGAATAAATATAAGGTAATCTTTCATAAGAACAAATTTAATTTATTTATTGAACTATATTTTTATTTTTATTTTTATTTATATATTTTTTTTTATTTATATAAAAATATATCTGTTAAAAACAGTATAAAATATGTTATATAATTGCGAATATAAACAAAATAAAAGCCTTTAAAGTTGATAATAAACTTCTCATCTATTAACAAATGTCAAACATAACAAAAGAACCAGAAAAATATTTTATTTGGTAAGAGCCATTTTAACATGTTTTACTTGTTTATTTATATCAGGTTGTTCTCACTCTATATGGATACTTTCTTTAATTTTTAATTTTAATCTGTAACAGTTACAATATAAAGTCAAAACACTCATTACTTTGATCAATGAAACATCTTTCTTTTGAGCGAAAATGTTTATAAACAAAAAATTTATGTATGTAAATAAAAATTTGAGAATTTGAGTTTTAATACAACTCAAAAATTTTAATTTTACACAAAAAAAATATTTTTTATCATATTTAAAAAAAAATATGCATATTTGGAATTAATATACCTGTGAAGTATTCTTGGTTATTGGGTCACATATATTCAGCAATTCATTGGAACTTTTGTGTGTAGAATCAAGCAATTGAGTAAATACCTTGAAAAGAGAACATTAGAGTAAGAATATTTGTTGCACTCCATTATTCTTAGTTTATTTTGCATCTTTTACAAAATACCTTTGGATTTAATTAATTTTATTAAAAAAAGTAATAACAGAGGTGGGTTGATTCCAAATTTGATTTGATGCTCAAAGAATTGTAAGAATCACAATTCTCCTATCTTTAATAAATTTTTTTTTTTTTAATTTTTTTACTTCCCCAAGACCAAGAAGGCTACTACAGCCGAGGAGGCTTCTTTTTGTAGTTACAACCTCTTTTAACTCTATAGCTTTGAAACACAAACCTCAACGAGCAAGACCACTGGGTGAAGAAACAAGTTGAGCGTGGTACTACCATGGACATGGTGAAGATCAAACTCGGAACTTCTCACTTATGAGGCAAGCGCTCTACCAATACACCACTACAGCATTATCGCATATCGCACTATTACTGCATTTTTGCACACCGCATACCAAATTGTAAGAATCACAATACTCCTACTCTTTAATGAACTTGAACAATTGCCAATTCTTTTAAAAATTAAAAAATAATGCAAACATACCTTGGCACATTGTTTGCTAAGGTTTAGCCTAGAACCAATAACATTACCCATTTTAAAATTGTTAAATTTCAGATTTTTCATCAATTCAGTTTGATTTGATTGATATCTCAGTGTATTTCTTTTATCTATTAAATTAATAATTAACAGTTTATAGATTTTTATATTGACTATTTAAAAAATAATTCATTAAAAAAGAAAAAGATTTTAAATATAAACCTTGTTTTCACTGAATAATTTTTTATTAATTTGTCATTGTTACGCAGAAACACTTAGGAAGACCGCTATCTACAGTTTTTTTGGAGTATTATTTAGTACTGCAGAGTTTACTACAACTGGAAGAGAAGCCATGCAACTCCAGAGCAAGTACAATTACATATTTTTCTGAACAAGAATCTACCACTAACCTAATTATCAGTATTAACAGTAAGCGTACATTGCACACATGCAACAGCATACAACATGGCAGCAACAACATGGCAGGACTTCATAATCAATATATAATTTTTATAAATAAAATATAAAATCAAAATAGCACACGTATTTGATATCATAATAATGTAAATACTGTTTTTTTTACCTTTTATTAAGTAATTAATAACAGTAATAAAAACTGTCAAACTGTCATTTTTTTTATTTCTGTGTTATATATTAATTTCTTTTTTTTTTTTTTTGGTATGCTTTTTAAATTTTTTCATTTTTGTTGAATTTTTTACAATTAAAAATACAGCAACTAATTTATTTAATTAAAGACCCATAAACAACTAAATTTCGGAATCACAACAATTAAATTGAGGATTAAAATTGGAATTGAAATCAATAACTTTTCAGAATTGGTCTCTAATTATTACCTCAGGTTGATTATCAAGAATTGTTGACGCTTCTTGATCATTATCACATGTTGCTTTAGAATCATTCATTGGGTTAATTGAATTGACTGCGATTTGTGTATTCTTTGCTAATCTACTTTTTCTACATTTACTGGTGTAGACAAGATCTTCATCATCACTTTTACTAACTTGGTCAGTTTCATCTAAACTAATTTGCTTTACTGGTGACTTGGAAACTTGCATTGTGGATGATCTAGGACGAGCTAAATTTAAGAAAACAAAAACACACAAAACAATTAAACGAAAAAAAAAAAGATTTAAGACTGCAATAATGATAATGTAACTGCATTACATTAAATATAATAAATAAAATTTTGAGTCGCCTATAAATTTTGAGTCGCCTATAAATTTTGAGCCGCCTATAAATTTTGAGTCGCCTATAAATTTTTAATATTAAATCTTTAAAACCTCCATTTTATTTTATTCTAATAGGTTAAATAAATAAAATAATTAACAGGTTAAATAAATAAAATAATTAACAGGTTAAATAAATAAAATAATTAACAGGTTAAATAAATAAAATAATTAACAGGTTAAATAAATAAAATAATTAACAGGTTAAATAAATAAAATAATTAACAGGTTAAATAAATAAAATAATTAACAGGTTAAATAAATAAAATAATTAACAGGTTAAATAAATAAAATAATTAACAGGTTAAATAAATAAAATAATTAACAGGTTAAATAAATAAAATAATTAACAGGTTAAATAAATAAAATAATTAACAGGTTAAATAAATAAAATAATTAACAGGTTAAATAAATAAAATAATTAACAGGTTAAATAAATAAAATAATTAACAGGTTAAATAAATAAAATAATTAACAGGTTAAATAAATAAAATATTTAATAGGTTAAATAAAATAATTAACAGGTTAAATAAATAAAATAATTAACAGGTTAAATAAATAAAATATTTAATAGGTTAAATAAATAAAATGTTTAACGGGTTAAGTAAATAAAATATTTAATAGGTTAAATAAAATAATTAACAGGTTAAATAAATAAAATAATTAACAGGTTAAATAAATAAAATATTTAATAGGTTAAATAAATAAAATATTTAACGGGTTAAGTAAATAAAATATTTAACAGGTTAAGTAAATAAAATATTTTATAGGTTAAAAAAAAAAATATTCAATAGATTAAATAAATAAAAAATTTAATAGGTTTAATAAATAAAACAAACAATACTTTTTAAACTATCAGAAGATCTTTTTGAATTTTTTCTAATTGTACTTTTTGAAGTATTCAATGGCTTTTCATAGAAGTAATTTGTAGATGGTGCAACACATACCTCAACTTTTTCGTGCCGCAATATGGGGTCATGCCCATAATCTAAATATGGTTCATTCTAAAAGCAAAAAAAACAATTTACTTTTCAAACATTTTTGTATGTTTCAAACATTTTTGTAAAGAAGTAATTCTTTTACATAAAAAAAATTCATGATTAATTAATTTGAAGGTCTAATGTATGCTGGCCAAAAATGTTTCAAATATATATATGTGGCTTGTACTTTCAAAAAAAGTTAACTGGGTTAAGAAGCAGTATAACAATATATAAATTTGACAGTATGACAAGAAGCATTTGTAACTGATGAGTTAAAAAGCATTTGCAACTGATGGGTTAAGAAACATTTTTAACTGACAGCTTATTTCCATAAGGAAAACATGATCTAAAACAAAACTACGATGATCGATATCTGATGAAGAAGAGAACCAAAAATCCCAAAAAGACAAGGGACTAACTGATAAATGATTTAGCTACATAAGACACTAGGTCTGCTAAGTACTGTGTGGAGGAGATTGTAGTTCTATATTTGAGACATCTCAAGTTGAGTTAAATCTTCAGACATTAAATATAAGAACTTTTTTTTACAGCATATAGTATTATACTGTAACTTTTGTGTTACATAACATACAAATGTGTCTACAGAAATAAGACAGCAATACTTTGATTTTGCTTGATTATGTTCTCATTATAATTTAATATTTTTCTTATTATGTTCTCATTATATTTTAATATTTTGCTTGATAATGTTCTCATTATACTTTAATATTTTGCTTGATTATGTTCTCACTATAATTTAATATAACTCATATGTAATATATGAATTATAGCAAATTAAAAAAAAAATTATTGAAAAAAACGTTTTATAAAAAAGCATTATAAAAAAATTAAAGTTATATTTCCATTTAAAAAACAAAAACCATTTTTGAATTTTAAAAATATTTTTTTTACAAAAACAAAAAACTAAACTTACAATGTCTAAAGAGAAAGTTAACTTTTCCATTCCAGTTAGTAATGTTCTAAAGATGTCAGATCTCTACAAAAAATTTTTGTTAAAAAAGTCAATTCTGAAATATTGCTACAAAAGCTTTTAAAAAATGAATAGAAAAAAGTCTTGGCAACAAATTAATGAAAATTAATTGAAATGAAAATTAAATGACCCATCAAAAAATAAGTTTATTATCTATCAAGAGAACAAGCACTTTTATAAATACTATCATTTCTTTATCAAGGGGGAAAAAAAATCTCAGTAAAAAGAATTTACTTCACTATCTCTTAATTGTCCTAAAAAGTACTTACTTCACTGTCTCTTAATAGAGCAAACTCTTTGTAAAAATATTTGATGAGCTTGATTTCCGATGTCATAACTTTAATGTACGATTCTAATGATTGCTCAATAAATGTAGTATATAACCAGATATAACCTAGATAAATTTTTATGTAGTGTATAGTCAGAAATATCATAGATATTATATGCACTATATAACAGAGATAACCTGAATATAATATATAAACTATATAATAACTTGAACAATATTATATGAACTGTATAACATAGATGACCTGAATAATATTATGTGTACTCATAGCAATGATAACTGTTTCAATATTTTATTTTTTAGACAAAAAAAGACTAAAATTACAATGAACAAATTGCAACAAACCTTTGTTTACGTCATTGGTTGCTTTTTTGTGATTGTCAACAAATTTAATAACAGACGAGTGACCAATCTTTTTAATGAAAGGCCAATAACCTCGCCCTGCATCTTTTAATCTAAACCATGTTAACACAGTTTTTATTTGTTCAAAATTTATAGTAACAACTAGTAATAATATTAGCTATAACTATTAGCTATAAATAAAAAAATAAAAAGCTATAACTAAAATAAAAAGAATTTTAGTTATAGCTATAATATAACTATAAGGTAACCTTTAAGCATACCAAATTAAAAAAAATTTTAGTTAATTTAATTATTAATTGTGCTAATTTAATCTGAAATACACATATGAATAAAGCTATTGCCTAAATTTAAAATTAAATTTAGTGGCTTCTCTATATATTTTTTCAGCCAATCCTTATCACAATAATTTAGACCTTCCTTATATTTATGAATGGTAAAGTACTCGATGAGTCATCTACCCTTCATCTTCTGGAATTGACTCTTATTTCTTATCTTTCTTGGAAACCGTATATCAAATCCGTTGCAAAATTAGCATCTGCTAAAGTTGCATCTCTTTATCGAGCTCGACACTTTCTTACTCTGGATTCTACTTTCTATCTCTATAAATCTCAAATCCAGCCTTGTATGAAATACTATTGCCATATCTGGGGCGGATTTTCTAATGATATCCTTTCTCTTTTAGACAAGGTGCAAAAATGCATAGTAAACATAGTTGGACCTGCTCTTGCAGCCAACCTTAAACCATTATCACATTGTTATAATGTTGCTTCTCTTTCTCTTTTCTACAAATACTATAATGGGCACTGCTCTAAAGAGCTAGCGCCTCTTGTGCCATCTATTAAAATTCATTCTCGTGTTACTCGTCATTCAATTAAGTCTCATCCTTTTTCTGTTACTGTTCCTAAGTGCTCCAAAAACTCTTATTCGTCTAGTTTTTTCCCTCGAACATCAGTTCTTTGGAATTTGCTTCCTTCATCTTGCTTTCTTGATTCATATAACTTGCAATCTTTTAAGTCATCTGTCAATCGTTATCTAGCTCTACAGTCTTCATCTTTTCTCTTCCAGTAACTTCCAGCACTAACTAGTGGTTGCTTGAAACCTTGTTGGAAGCAAAGATTTTAAAAAAATGTATATATATTATTACCATCGTGTTTGACACAGAACCCTTGGTAGCCATAGCAACGGTAGTGGTGAGAAAGAGTATGCAAATACTGAACTTATGTACACTTCAAATTATGTAACATTAAAACATACTAAAATATATATCAAGATTTACAGTTTTACTTTCACCTGAAAACTGCATTGCAGCAACATTTCCTTAACTTTGACCTATAGCATTTATTTCTGATTTATAAAATCTTTTATTTATTATATAGTTTTAAAATTTTCATTAGTCAACATGCCAGTTTGGCCAAGTGGTTAGCTCGCAGAGGTTCTGAATAAAAAAACTATGGTTCGAATCTTACCACTGGCAACTTCTATTGACTTAGTGCATATAATTGACTTTATGCATATAATTGAAATACAAACCATTTTATAAACTCTTATACCGGTTGCAATCAATTAACACTATTCAAGTGGCTTTTCTAAATTAGTGCAGCTTTATTGCATAAGAATAAAGATGCGCTTATATATTTGAAAATTTGAAACTTCCATTTTAGATTTAAACTTAAATGATTCTTATATAAAGTTTATTCAAAAGACTTTTGTTGTCTAAGAAAATCATCATTTATAAAAACAAAATAATTATGAATTTTAATAACGATTATTAGAAAAAATGCATAATTAAACAATTTATTTAATAAAGTTAAAAAAATTATTCTAGGCCTTGTTTTTAAAAAAAAAAAGCTTTACGTAATAGCCTAATGTGAATTTGATGTCATAAAATTCTTTTTATTATTTACATTTTTTTATATTTCTAATTGTGGCTTTGCAACTACAAATGATTTTTTATTAAAAAAAAATTAGTGAGTAACAAATAAAAAAATTATGTTAATTTACTTACTTTATTTATTAAAATTTTATTATTTTATTAACAATTTTGTTGTGAAAGCAAAGATTATTTTTCCAAACATCATTTAATAAAATTATATCACTGTATATATCTTTTTTTTTATATAATTGCTGCAATTTAACTTGAGCATATTTATAATTGCTGCTATTTAATTTGCGCAAAATAATTGCTGCAATTTAACTTGCACAAGTTAAATTGCAAAGATTATTTTTTAAAAAATGATATATAATTACAAATCGAGATGTTTTCATACATGACATAATCACATGAGGCAATACATCATGATACAATACAATATCACACATTAAATAAATAATCATGTCATAATAGAATATCATGTTACATGATCATTTGACACAATAGGACAAATGTTACTAAAACGCCTTAAATGGATCTAATTTAAAGCAATATACATAAAGAATATTTAGTTAAATATGTATATAAAATATATTTTATAATTTACATTCAAAAAAAATGAAAATCACAAATTATACATACCCAAAAGATAAACCAAGATCAACTGAGTTAATTAAACTACGAAAATGGCAGTTACTTTTTGTTATTGATTTACTAGCTTTAGGATCAAAAACTTTCATTTCAGAATCTTGAGCTTGTAGCTAAATTAAGTTAAGTAAAAAAACAATAATTGAAAATAAAAAAAATAATTTTAAAATAAAAAAATTATTAAAAGTAAAGGTACTTAAAAAGGTAAAAAAAAAAAAAATTTAGCTAAATAAACAAAAGTAGTTAAAAAAGGAAAGGTGAGTATTGAGGAAAAAAAAAATTAAAAGCCCTTAAGAAGTTAAAAATACATATTCTGCAGCCGTTTTTCAAAATGCCTTAATATGCTTATTATGCAAAAAAACGCAATTAAATAAAAACTATTAGGAGAAACTCTTTTTAAAACGTTTATGAATGTATACTTAATGACATTTGTAGACATGTAAACTAGTTTATTTGGCAAAAAAGTCAAAACTGATTATTTTTACCTTAAGGCATTTTGAAAAACGGCTGCAGTATTAGAAAAAAAAAGATTTTGAGGTTTTGATAAATTAAAAATTTTATATAATCTTAACAGCGCTCAAAATAACGGCCGATCAACAACCAATGATCAGCTATTTTTGGGGAAATTTTGAAAAATTCAAGGGAAAATAACCTGTTTTTGTACATTTGATCGGCAAGCTTTGAAAAACTATTTTGAGCGCTGTTACAAAGATTCTTGTAAAAAACTTAAGCCCTACATGTTGTCTTATAATTTAAATATTTATAGTTATTTCAAGACTACAAACAACTTTTCGATTAATATGAATAATATTAATAAACTCAAATAATATTAATGGCTCTTAAAAATAACATTGTGGATCTTTTATTTAAAAGCTCATTAAAGCATCTTGCAGTCAATTCTTTTATTCATGCCTGATTATATATTATTCTTCATATTGATAAAGTTGACTAAAGATTTTTCTTTAAGTTCTGACTAAGCTATTTAACTTCAATACCTAAACTTTTTTTTTTTTTTTTGTGACAGCTTGGCTAATTAAAATTTTTATTAAAGTTTCATTTTTAAGTGATTGTGTTTTTATCAGCTAAAGCAACATTAGTTTACAAATGTTTAGTTGTTGCTGTTGTTAATGTATTGTCCAACACCCATAAAATCTTGGAATAAAAAAAAGCAACTTAAATCATTTGAGTATATATATATATATACATAAGGTAAAAAAAGTCTCCTTCAACAACATTTAAAAGACATTTTAATGTCATTTTAAAAGACATTTTAATGTCTAAAAGTTAAAACCACAAAAAAAATGCGAAAATATATTAAGTTTTATCACTTTTTATAATAATGAATAGAAAGTTTTTTCAATTAGTAGTGCATTTTTTTTTTAAGTGTTTTATATTATTTTTAAAACATGCTAGGAGTGTTGCTACATCGACTGACAAATAGGTAAAACATGCGAGGAGTGCCTTTTTTAATGTACAACATGCGCGGAGTGTTGTTACATTGACTGTCTTATAGCCTGCTGCTACAAGGGAGTGCAGCTACATCAATTGAAGGTATGGTTGAGGCAGGCAGTCTATCAAATAGTAAAAAAAAAAAATTGTTCAGGTTTTTAAACTTTTTCTGGTTTGATTTTTAGCGATCTCTTGAAAACTACAGTTTGTGGAAGAAACTTTTCAACTACCATACAAGACTATATATATGCTACAATTTGCCACTTTTAAAGATCCAGGTTTAAACGGGTTTAAACCGTTTAAACCTGGATCTTTAAAAGTTTTTTCTGTACGCTTAATGTAATAGATCTTGTGGTTTTGTTTTCATATTGCGTATATAAATAATATTTTTACTTACTGCCAGCAACTACATGATGGAAGATTAAGTTGGCCATATGCCAGCAACTACATGATGGAAGATTAAGGTTAGAAGAATTTGATAAAATTTTATTGTTATGTGAAATGATGTTGCGAATACTTGGAAGACAGCTATAGATAACTTTTAGGTTATTTTGGCACAACAGTTTATGGAACTTATGATTTTTTGGGAAGCTTTTATCAACTTAACTAAATAAAAGTTTGTCTATGTTTGTCTTAACGTTAATAAAAGCACTCTTTACCAAGAAATATTTACATAATTCAAGTCTTCCCAGGAAGTGTGTGCAGTCGGACACCTTGTACATCCACACTTAAAAAATTTTTTTTAGGTAACTTGACCATATTTTTATATAGTAAGCATTTTTTAAGAATTCGCGGAAAAATAAAACTATAAGAAGCTAGAGAATAAATCAGCAATACTCAAAGAAGAGAACCAAAGACTATACAAAATGGAAAATCTAAATAAAATAAGCTAAAAAAAAATTATTAATAATAAAAAGAAAATTGTTGTTGAAAAAATAATATACCTAAAAATTTACTGTTTTTGTTTTCTTATTTTTAGAGCGTTTGTTATTTTCCACTACCAAAATTGATACAAGTCAAGGAAAAAAGTATATAAGAATATAATGAAAATAAAAATATTTTTTGATTTACAATTTTTTTGCAACTTTTTTCAGTCAGTATATAAAGGAAATACTTTATAAATTGCGCTAGAAACACGAACAGTTTTTGAATTTGTTTTTTAAATGTCTTTGTTAAACTTTACTGTTTTTATCAATGGACAGGAAAGCAAGAAAACTATTCATTTGTGAGAAATTTTATTTTTTTCAACAAGTTTTTCATGTAAAAAATAAAACAATGCTGCAAAATTTTGTGGGCTAGTGCATTGTTAATTTACTGAACTTTCTTGAAGAAATTTTTAGGAACCTATTTAAAACTTTTGTTTAAGTTTTTAAATACATTTTTTTAAACAGAGAAATCGTTATGTTCATTATTTCTAGTAATTTGTATTAAGATTGGAAATCGGGCAATATAAAAGAAACAATTTCATCCATGTAAAATATAGAAAAAAAAGTTTTTAAATGCGAAAAGACAGAAAAACAAATAAACATAAGTAAAAAAATTAACAAAATTTCTTATAGTTCTAGCGTACATAGCTAATTAGTTTCTTAATTATATGGGCTGATAAAAATTATGAATAAACTGCATATCAAAACTTTCAATTGTTGTTAAATCGTTGAAAAATGATTTTTTTCATCAAAGACGGGCAAACCACAAGCAATCATTCAAAAACAAAAAAACTTAAAAAAATAAACATGCTTTCAAAATACCTATTGAAAACAATGGATAAGTTAAAAACAACAACACCTAATTTAAAATGGTCTATCATAAAAAGCGCCCCACCTACAACAACATAACTAAAAAATGCCTATTATGCTTATATGAGAAACTAATAATTATATTGTACAAAAATCCAAAAGAATTATTAAAAAAAAAAAGTGAACTAATATCCAAGTGTTGCCATGTTATTAAAAAGTTATTAAAAAAAAAGTTAGATAAGTTAAGCAATTAAGCTTAAGAAACTCTAGTTTTTGTACTGACATGCTCGCATGACAGAAGTTACGGATACTACTGTTGCTTGTAAAATACAAACTTTTACATAAACTAGTTTAACATTGCTTTGTTCTTTAAGAACATTGAGCACTCTATAGAATACACTAACATAGTATATATATATATATATATATATATATATATATATATATATATATATATATATATATATATATATATATATGTATATATATATATATATATATATATATATATATATATATATATATATATATATATATATATATATATATATCAGGCCTTGCGATAAAGCGTTGAGCGATGTGAATTTTATGTCGTCCAAGAGCGATTTTGCGTGTAGCTAGGGCTATTTGCGTCGAGCAAAAAATTTTTTGTTTGAGTATATTTAAAGATATTTTTGAGCGGAATTTTAATGAAGTAATTTACGATTATTTTAACATTTAATAAAGTATTTTAAAAACCGCACGCTGTTGAAATAAAGGTTTGAATTAAAAAAAAATTAAATATGCTCATTATTAGAAGAAGAAAAAGAAAAATATCAGATTAAAAAAAAATTATAAATCTTTTAAGCTAACATTTTAATAAAATTATTCAGCAATAGCAAAGTTGTTGATAAAATTGAACAAAAATACTTTCTTTTAGTTTTAGATTTTAAACTTAAATAATTATTTTACGGGGGTTTGTTAGGTTTTAAAAAAAAAGATTTAAAAATATTTATTAACTGTTAGACGTATTTAAAGTATTTAAGAGTAATTTCGAGGAAACATTTTAAAAATTGGTGAGCGCAAATAAAAAAAAAAAAAGAATTAATATTAAAACGTATTCTAATTGATTCAATAAAAAAGTACAGTTATTAAAATTTTTGTAAAAAGTAACTCAAAAAAATTACTTAAATAATAACGATCGCTTTTATGTTAAAAGTTACCGAAACTCAACAAGGCGTGCTCAAGAACAGCTGCTGAAAAATAAAACGTCAATAGTTTTTCGAATAATTTTTAATAATAATTTTTAAGAATAACTTTTTCGCTGAAATATTTCTTTTATACCTATAAGATTTTTATTCTAACATTTTATTTTATATTACTTGAAATAAAATTCCTTGTTAACATTAAAAATCTATTCAAAACGTTCGTTTAAGTTTTTTATTAATACGAGTGATTGTGCTTATCAACCGCTTTATGAAAATAAATAAAAATAAATAAATAGTATATAAAATCGCTTGTAAAAATATTAACTATTGCACAGTTAATCGTACAATATTAAAATTTCCAGTTTATTACTCGCTGACTTTGTAAAAAGAAAAAATAATTATTTGAAAAACTTTAAATTACATATTTAAGAAAAAAAAATCAAATATTAGCATAGTTTATAATCTTTTTTAAATTTAAGTTATAATGTTTTTTGTTCGTTTAGTATAGACAAAACATGACAAACGTCGAGAAAATAAACGTTTTTACATTTTAAAAAACGAAACATTCCAAAACATTTTTAAATAATAACATTTCTACATGAACGATTTAAAGTAGTTTTGCGGTAATTAAGTAAATTGGTGCAGTTAATGTCGATAAATATGAAAAGCAAATAAAAAGAATTTAGTGACGTCAAAAATCACGTCGTGCTTATGCGTCGCGCAGTTCTTATTCATCGCAAGGCCTGATATATATATATATATATATATATATATATATATATATATATATATATATATATATATATACTATTGGCACATTTTTTTTGATATCTCAAAAAAATGTCTTGATATTTTTGTTGTCATGATAACAAAAATATTAAGACATTTTTTGAGATATTAAAAAAAATGTTGAAAACTACAAATTTTTTGCAAATGTTTTTAATAAAAATTCAATAAAAAACTCTAAAAAAAAATCTATATTACAAAAAACATTTATATTCTGTATTAATAAAGCTGGAATATAGATTTTTTTTAAGTTTTTTACTAAAAACTTAAAAAAATGACTACTTTTTATTAAAACATTTGCAAAAAATTTGTAGTAGAGGATTGACAAACTTTTTTCATGTTGCTAAACATTTAGATAAAAAGTTTAGCGTAAAATTAATTGCTATAAAAAGATAAGATGAAATTATCGCTATGAAAAGTTACTACAATTATTTTTAACGTTACTTCTTGCTTGTAACAAACTTTTACATATCGTCATTCAAAAGTTAATGTGGTTTTTTTAAAAATTAATTACTTCTTTTATGTTACTGCTAATTTAAAAGTTAAAAAATGATAAAAAGTAGCTTAACCGAAATCACTCTACACATACGTAAAAATCGCTTAAGGCGTACAAAAATCGCTCTAGGCGTAATGCTTTAAAACAAGGCCTATATATATATATATATATATATATATATATATATATATATATATATATATATATATATATATATATATATATATATATATATATATATATATATATATATATATATACAACCCTCAGAACTACTTCTGACTTTACCTTACTGCCAACCTGATAGTGTTTGAGGTCAGCAAAAAATTACTGACCTCGTTTCTATGTTTTATGATTGGACCTTTAAAATAATTTTTGCCGACCTCAAAAAGATTGAGGTTAGCAAATTATTGCCTCATTTTTCCTAATTCCGAGGGCTGTGTATATATATATATATATATATATATATATATATATATATATATATATATATATATATATATATATATATATATATATATATATATATATATATATATATATATATATATATATATATATATATATAAATATATATATATATATATATATACATATATATATATATATATATATATATATATATATATATATATATATATATATATATATATATATATATATATATATATATATATATATATTTACTAAAGCGTATTTTTATAAGCATTTGCTCACTTTTTTTGCTTACCTTAACCCATACAGCTTTTTTTTAAAAAAGAAGAAAAAAAACAAAGAATGATGAATGAAACAATTGCTGCCCCATCCCAAACCCTAAGTCGATGTAGCAGCACTCCACAGACTATTTGTCAGTCGATGTATATACTGAAGCCCCCAGCAGCAGGCTATTTCAGTATGACATCAGATCACTTACCTTAGTATGCAATACTATTTGTATGTATATATATATATATATATATATATACAGGGCCTATTAAGTAAAAAAATTTGGGTAGCAATACCCCCTCGTTCTGGCAAACTTTTTCTGGAAAATTGACTGTTTTTTTGCAAAAGTAACAATATTTGTCATAGAAAATGTATATATATATATATATATATATATATATATATATATATATATATATATATATATATATATATATATATATATATATATATATATACATATATATATATATATATATATATATATATATATATATATATATATATATATATATATATATATATATATATATATATATATATATATATATATAATTAATCATATTATATATATTGTTAATTGTATATTTTAATCATAATATTATATTATTATCAATAATTATTATAAACAATAAAAATCAGCTTTATTAACTAAATAATATATTTTATTTTAAAACTCAATGTTCTAGTTTATATGTATATTCAAAAATTCATTTCTGTACAAACCAAAACTTATGTGAAAATCGGGCATATTTTTTTAAATAGTAATGTTTATCAATTGTGACAATTGTGTCTAACATTTTGACTAATAACAAATGACATATCAACAAACTATTTATGGTTACTTTTTAAACTATAAGACATAAATATTTTAGGGTTACCCTTATAAACTGACTAAACCTATTTTTACAGTAACTTATAAATTCAAAAAGATTTTAAATAATAAAATGTTTACACACTTTATTATTGTATTCAAATAAAAATTAAAAAAATAAAAAAACTGTCTTTTTTGATCAAAACAGACTTACTTTTATTCGGAAAAAACCTAAAATTACCTTTTAAATGTGAAGTATAAACTTTTTTAAATTATATGTAACAATAAGCTATTTAAACAATTCAAAAATTTTATCTCACATTGTGAAAATAAATTGAAAGTTTATTATTTACATTTTTAATCGCAATACCAATTCCTTTAAGTATGTCGTCTTTGAAGTAACCTGCTTGTTCATTCATAGTTCAAACATTTATTCGCATTTATTAGTATAGTAACTTAAAATATATAAAATAAATCATCATTATAATATATAAAATAAATCAATGCATATTAAATCTTATTACATAAATATTAAATACAAGATGTTTTCTTGAAGAATCGGTATGAGTTTTTTAAATTACAAACAACCGTTGTTTATTTCTAATATAATTAATTTTGCAAAACAGTAGTAAAAAAGTTTTTACGAAAATTTTAGGAGATTAACAAAAAAAAACTCGTATATAACAAATTTTATTGATTCATTAAAATAAAAGAAAATTAAGCATAACCAAATTTTACAACATCCGATGTGCTCACTTAAGCACGGCTTTATTTACACTAATTAATCTGTTATTGCTAACGGGTCCCCTAAAGGTAAGGCTCTCGCTGGGTACCCGGACACCATCCGTTCGTTTCTATCCTGGTAGCATGATCGAATGAGATAATTTTATATATATATATATATATATATATATATATATATATATATATATATATATATATATATATATATACATATATATATATATATATATATATATATATATATATATATATATATATATATATATATATATATATATATATATATATATATATATATATATATATATATATATATATATATATATATATATATATAAAACCAATTAAAAGAAAAAATTGATTATCACTATCTCTTTTAAATCCATGCTTGGACACTTGGTGGACATAGGAAAAATTACCCAAGTGATTGTAAATCAGTAGGCTAAAGTAACCCTCAATAGATTCAGATCTTATGAAATATTTATATATTAAATTTTTTTTTCATTCAATTCATTATTGTCTTAAATAAGCATCACTAATTGCTTATTGTGCAACTTCGTCTGTAATATTTGCTATTTTCTAAACAAGTTTATCATAGCTTTTTTTTGCGTTATTGGTTTTGGCATGTTCATGAGGGTTGAAGCCCAGAATGTCCTTTTTCAAGAGCTTGCATTGTGTATATTGTTCACGTGTTTATACCGCAGCTTCTTTTTTTATCGATTAATTTAGAAGTATAAAAGTCTTTTTGATAATTACATTTTGAACAAATAATTGAAAGTTCACAAGCAAGTTCTTACTTTTTGCTTTTGTTTTCAATTAATAATAAAGTCATTTGTAAACAAGCTGGGCAGCACAAAACACTTACAGCATCAGCCAAAAGAAAAGAGTCAATTATTCTGTAACCAGTGTTTAATTGAGTAAAGTTATAAGCCTCATTTTGAGGTGTTTTTAAACTTTTAAGCATTTTTATTGAGTTAAAACATAAGCATGAAAGTTATCTTTCTGAAACATCAAAAAAAGCTGTCGCGATCAATGTTTTTAGAAATTCTGATGGTGATAAAGAAATCGCAACTAATGAAACTTTAGAAACAAGGTCTATAAGAACTTTTTCTAGAATAGAAAACTTAAATTACGAATGGATGGTAAACTAAATTTAAAAGATTATAACTATTGACTTGTAACTGGAAATGGTTTTTTTTTTTTGTTACTTGGATAGCGGTTACTTATCTCATTCGATCATGCTACCAGGATAGAAACGAACGGATGGTGTCCGGGTACCCAGCGAGAGCCTTACCTTTAGGGGACCCGTTAGCAATAACAGATTAATTAGTGTAAATAAAGCCGTGCTTAAGTGAGCACATCGGATGTTGTAAAATTTGGTTATGCTTAATTTTCTTTTATTTTAATGAATCAATAAAATTTGTTATATACGAGTTTTTTTTTGTTAATCTCCTAAAATTTTCGTAAAAACTTTTTTACTACTGTTTTGCAAAATTAATTATATTAGAAATAAACAACGGTTGTTTGTAATTTAAAAAACTCATACCGATTCTTCAAGAAAACATCTTGTATTTAATATTTATGTAATAAGATTTAATATGCATTGATTTATTTTATATATTATAATGATGATTTATTTTATATATTTTAAGTTACTATACTAATAAATGCGAATAAATAAATTAAAAAAATATGCCCGATTTTCACATAAGTTTTGGTTTGTACAGAAATGAATTTTTGAATATACATATAAACTAGAACATTGAGTTTTAAAATAAAATATATTATTTAGTTAATAAGGCTGATTTTTATTGTTTATAATAATTATTGATAATAATATAATATTATGATTAAAATATACAATTAACAATATATATAATATGATTAATTATATATATATATATATATATATATATATATATATATATATATATATATATATATATACTTATCAGGGCTATTCTAGAATGTTTTTGACAGCGTTTACCATATTTAGGCGCCGCCTAAATTAAAATTTGAGGACCTTTTTTTTTTACATTTTCTATGACAAATATTGTTACTTTTGCAAAAAAACAGTCAATTTTCCAGAAAAAGTTTGCCAGAACGAGGGGGTATTGCTACCCAAATTTTTTTACTTAATAGGCCCTGTGTATATATATATATATATATATATATATATATATATATATATATATATATATATATATATATATATATATATATATATATATATATATATATATATATATATATATATATATATATATATATATATATATATATTATATATATATATATATATATATATATATATATATATATATATATATATATATATATATAAACTAAAAAAAGACGAACCCGAAATTCGGTAAATGACGAAGATTTTCGTTTTACTAAAAAGTTTAGTATTTGAAAGACTTTAAAGTCAATTTTCATAAACCAATTAACTAGATTAGACACTAATCTCGTTTTCAAGGTTTACTGCTTTACAAAAACAGCAAACGAAATGGCTGATGAATAAGTAATAACTGATTTCGGGTGCGACATTTTAAAGTTCGCCACACACACAAACACAAACACACAAAGTTTTTTGTTAATACTACTACTTTATTTTATCATTGTTATTACTTTTATCATTATTATTATATATAATTCCATACCACATTTGCTTTAAAATGGATTTCATTAATTATATGCGCTTAACCAGTTTTAAGTTCTTTTTCTATTTTTTTTTTCCAATGCAAGCTAATGTTTTATTTTCAGATTCAGTGTCATTTAATGAATGAAGACAAAAATATTTTATTATTTCAGACATTGAAAGTGTAATTAAATAAATTTCAATTTATATTTTCTAAAGCACTTTCATGGGGGTGCATCAAACACAGCCCATTTCCATGACAGCTAAACAAAAGAATTTAAAGTGAACGTTTTTAATGTTGGTTTAGATGACCAGATCCAGCAGATTGTTTCAAGATTTGAGACAAGCAGGGTGGTTAGCAATATGTTTTCGTCTGGTTGAATAATAATGATCTTTCCGTTTAAAATAAAGCATGAAAACTTGCACGGTTTTATCCGAGAAATGTGAACAAAAAAAAACGTTCAACGTTTTAACAATGCCCGCAAAACAATTTTCAAGCAAGGAAATTCAATGTAGACACTTGATCTAATGTCTAATGTATCTAAATGTCTTGAAGAATTTGATACATTGGTCCATAAACTGCCATTAAGCAAGTGTTAAATTGTTTAAAAATTAACAACTAATAGTTACATAGATAATCATACGTCAAGCCTTTAATAAAAGAAATTAATGCGTCAAATGTATACGAACTAAACATTCATCAAAATTTATTGGTTATGTTTAAACTTCACGATAAAATGTTTTCAGCCACATTTCTCCTTAATTAATCACAGATAGTTAACAAGACAATCCATTAAAATATGTATTGATTTTAAACGTGTAAGTGAAGTAAATTATTATGCTACCTAAGGAACAAGGTGATAAGATGTATTTTACTTGCTCTTGTCAGAATTTAAAGTACATTGTAAAAATATTTGTTTATTGACGAAATATAAATACACCTACAAATACATATATATATATATATATATATATAATACATATATATATATATATATATATATATATATATATATATATATATATATATATATATATATATATATATATATATATATATATATATATATATATATATATATATATATATATATATATATATATATATATATATATATATAGGCACGCCGGAAAGGGGTAGCCTATAGTAGCAACTGTTACTCCTGCTCTTTTGGCTGGGATGGTAAGAGTAGCATGAATATGCCCTAGGAAATAGATATGGTAAATTTTTGAGCTTTGAAAGCATTTCATTATCGAACATTTCAATATTAATACTTTATTATCAATATCTACCAACTGGAGCTGGTAATAGGTGGGAGGGGTGGTAATAGAAGAGAAAACAGTTTAAAGAGAAAACAGTTTAAAATTGATTTAAACAAAAAAAAAGGAAAAAAAAGGCCCCGAATTAATAAGCAGCAGTGGTGCAACTCAAAAACAACTCAGATAAATAAACCAACGTTAAAGAATTTGTTGTTAATCGTATTCACGTTTAGAACTAATATGTTTCCAAAAATCAACTCGAAATTAAATAAAATATTTTATTTTTTTTGCTATCGTTATACGTTACAACTTTTTGTTATTATGCTTTAACTTGTTATATAAATTCAAAATGTTTTTTAGTTGATGTTTTGCAAAAAAGTAATAGTTTTTTAAGTTTTTTTTCAGCTTGTATTTTATTTTCGATGATTACTTTCGAGTGATGATTACTTTTGGTGATTGAAAACTGTTATGACATCTTGCAAGAGCAAGAAGAACTTATCACCTTAAAAGAACGAAGGCAGATTGTTGATTTGATCAGAACAGTTGATTTATTTAGTAGACTGTTTAATAGCATGTTATAACCTTTAGTGTTAATTGCACTGTACACGCGATTCGAAATAGTAAAAGTAGTAGACAAAGGGACATTTTTTTTGTATTTTTTGGAGAACAATATGGTTAATTAAAAGGTTTTTTTTATATTGGATGTTATATACAGTAATATATTGTCTTGATATTTTGGCAAGTGCCCTTGTCGATAATTGTCAAAGAAAATTTTGTAATCCAAAGAAAACTTTGTTATCCAAAGAAAACTTAGCCAGCTCAAATTTTAGATTGCTTAGTGTCTTAGACGTGCTTAATAGTTATGATAAAAGACACATAAAAGCATCGATAAAATATGTTTATCACAAGTTCGATACTCAAAAAAAATTTTGTTCTAGGAGTAATGTGCCACCCTAAACTCCTGTCGCCCCTACTCATTCCACTGCTTCCTCCCCCCCCCCCACCCTCTTCCACAACGCCTAACATTAATCCGCCTCTGCATTCAACACTTACAGTGCCTCCCGAGTATCACTAAATTTTGAACAAATTGATTTATCAACATCTTTATCTTCCTTGTCATCAGCATTATGTTCATTCGCTGCATTTTTTTGAATCAACTTATACACTGACAAATCAATCTATACACTGAAATAGCTGTAAATATATGCACATTTATTAACCACGAAAACTCTTTAGCATTTTTCAAAACTTCAATAATTAACTACGAAACACTTTGTATCACCAGAGCCATTATTTAAAATAAGAGGAGGGGGAACGGCGGAGGAAAAGATAAAATTAGTTCCCAAATGAAGATGTAAATAAATTTAATTTAAAAAAATGAAAAATTTTACGCAGAATGATATTTATTATATAAAATTTTTTTAAAAAACATCTATCATTTAAATGTGGACATACAGCCTCTTTGTTCTCAGCTTACAATATATCATTTAAATTCAACATTAACATTGGAAATATAGAAAATATTTACAAAAATTTTTTTCAAACATGCAGAAAAAATAAATAACAGTAACTTTATAACATCAAGTCTTATCGACAATTTCACTATCAACCACGTACTTCTCAAAATAGGGCTAAAAACTCCTTTTAATCGCAACAACAATATGTAAGCTTACAAAATTGAGACTCGTCATGTATTTTCCTCTGACATTTTAGTTTAAAAAACTTTATTAAAAAAAACGTAAAATCGACAAGTTTAGTCCGCGAAGATTTCATCTTGTTACATACCACCTTTGGATGTATAATCTGAACATCGTTATTTGAAGCTACTTAATACAACTTTAACTTCACCTCGCTATTCGATATAACCGCGAATTAAAATCTTGTAAACAAACGTTTCTTCGCATTTCATCGTAAGCTAAAATTAACATTTCATAAAGTTATATTAAAATTTGCAAATGCTCTTAGGTTTTGTCATTATTTTAAATAAAAATGATTACTTGTAAATCGCATTGCATCGGTATGTCAGCCTAAAGACGATAAAACTATTTAAAAATCAATACGACAATAACAAGAAACAACAAAAAGATTTTAAGTAAGTTAAACAGTTAACAGCTAAACAGTAAGCAGCTACTAATAACAAACCAATAAATATATTAAAAAAAATACGTACATTGAAATTTGTTGGTTGCCATTTGAAAGTAACATTTTTTTGTCCACCTGCCTCAATAGTTCCCTATTGTGAAAATTTTTTATTCTTTCTTTTTCATATATTGCATTTTAACAAAAAAAAAAAAAAAAAAAAAAGTAAGAAAATTGACATATCAATAATTGAGAAAAAAAATAAATAAATTGGTAATATTTAAAACTATTATGTTATGAAATAAATTTATTATTGCTTATTAAAATTTCAATTAGTTTAATAATTTGCACCAAAGCAAAAACAGATTACACAAAAGCAAAATAATATATAATTATAATATAAATAATAATATAAATACAATATAAATATAATATAATATTATAATTAATTATAACAACTTCCAAGTTCCGGTGAAATATTTAACCTATAACTTGAATTTTTTGATGTTTAGACATTTTTCTGATAAACCTACTGATGAAGAAACAAGTTGTTGAAGAAAAAAATTAGATAATCGTTTTTGCTAATTTATATATTTATATGATTAAAAGGCAAAACCATTGCATTAATTGCAAATGAAATGTTTTTAAATTATCCCATATTTGATTTGAATCTTTTTTTTTTCAATGCAGAATGTTTTTGTTTTTATTTTTTTAATGTTTTATACCGTTTTTATTTTAAAATTTTATTTGTTTTATTTTATTTTTGTTGAGTGCGGAGTGTACATATATATATCGACTGAAATAGGTAGAACATGTGAGGAGCGTACATACACCGACTGAAATAGGTAGAAAATGCAAGAAGTGTACATGCGTCAACTGAAATACGTAAAACATGCAAGAAGTGTACATGCATCGACTGAAATAGGTAGAACATGCAAAAGAGTTTTAGAATCTAAGAACTCCTCTGATTGGTCAAAGAAGTCTATCAAAGGTACACATATAAATTTAGAATTTTTTAAATTATGAAATTAAGAATAGTTTAGCAAATGTTGCTAATTAACGACTAATTAACTTACTACTTAACTCTATAGTTAAATATATTATTATTGTTAATATTATTATTGTTATATATTTTACATATATGTATATATATATATATATATAAAATATAGAGTAATGAGGTTATCGCTTGAAACAGTCATTTTTTTTCTAAAAAATCTAAAATTGATTGACTATGGTTTTCTACTTTTAAAATTCTTATTTCTATAGTCTCATTCTTTTTACAATGAAAATATACAAAAAAATCCTTTAGAAAGGAAACAAAAAAAACGCAATTTGTGGATCAACCAACAGCAAGACTAAAAAAATTTAAATAAGCAATAAAAAGTATACACTTATGGTACTGATTACAAAAAAAATAGAACTTCATAGATGAATTTTAGAGACTCTGATTTAAAAAAAAGTTGCACCTAAATATCATTAAAGTGTAAAAATGAAAGAAAAAGAAATTACCTTAGTAAAATCAATTGAAATTCCTTTCTCATAACTTTCTTGCAAAGACTCAAAGGCATATTCACAAACCTAAATCACAAATTAAGAACACATTTTCCTAAATTAAAGATCTACAAAACTAAATTATGATTTAAGAATTATTTAAGAATTATATGACATGAAGATGATTCAAACATTCAAATAAACAAATGATAATAAATATTTTGAAAATTTGCTTAAAAAAAAAAATAAGAGCAATAAACAGAAAAAATTCACCTTTTTAAAAGCTTGAAAACTAGGTTTTAAGTAACCTAACTGCACAACCCTTTCTGAAGTTGCATGATTCATGCTGCAATGAAAGCTGAGTAGTAATGTTTTTGAGATAGAACCAACAACTATGTTTAAAATCAAATTATTTAAAATTATGATTAAATGCATTTTTCAAATAATATATTTTACAGCTAGCAAAAAAACCTTGTCTCATCAAAATTTTTTTTCAAAAAAAGTTTATTAAAAAATAAAATAAAAACTAGACAACTTTTAATGTTTATTTTAGTACTTAGTAATATGTTGTTGTTTTTTTTATCACTTATTCTATACATTTTGGTATATTGTCATTTATTCTTTGAAAGTATTCTGGGTTCGTGTCATTAAACCATACTCAAATGTTCTCCTTTTTTAATTTTGAAAAAGATGTTGCACAGGCTTGCAATTAATTATTTTAGGGTAAATTGCCACACCATTTAAAAACATTAATTCTGTTGCCACAGATCCATTCCACTTATCTTTTTGATACATGGCATCTGGTATTGTACTGTGTAAAAATTTCTGACTGAATGGTGTATAAGGTGTCTAAGAGATTTGTCTCTAAAACACTGCAGTCAACTATAGAATTATAGTGACCTCTCTCTTTAAAATAAATCTGTTTTTTACTGGTCTTTTTAAGTCCACCAGATATGATTTTATGGCTTGGAACATACATAAATACATATATATATATGGCTTTGAACATACATACACACACACACACACAAACACACACACACACACTTTATGTATCTGAGCTTCCAACAGCCAGAGAGATATTTTATGATATGGTATACTAAAAGGTAGTGAAAAAAATTATACTGTAGATCAACTAGTAACTGATATGGTACCTGCTGTACTTGATCAATGGTTAAAGGCAAATGCACTTTTTGTATACCCAGTTGTAATCCATGAAAAAATAGTTTTTTAAAAAACTAAAATATTTATGGAAAGCAGCTTTTGATTTTAGCAATGGACGTTAAAAAAGAGCTGAAAAAGCAAGATTTTCTTTAAAATTAGATAAACTTGTGGACATTTTACTTTGTAAATGTAAATTAATTCTTTGTTCAGAGTACAAACGTGCTTCAGAATGTATGGAAAAAATTCATATAAAATGAAAATGTATGAGAGAAGAGAAAATACTAATTGTAGAGCTTCAATTCATTTATAGAGAACTAATTTAGGAAGCTTTGGAACTTTTCATATTGGTGGTACATATAGAAAAGAATCCAAAAAAATTGAAAACAAAAACAACAATAAAAAGTAGCAATATTAAAGAAAAAAAAGGTAGCTGGTTAATTAAAATACAATATAATATATACAAGGATTTATTATAATGTAAATATATATATATATTTATATATATATATATATTTACATTATATATATATATATATAAATATATATATATATATATATATATATATATATATATATATATATATATATATATATATATATATATATATATATATATATATTATTTAGATGAATAAAAACAAGTGATTAGAAGGAGTTAAAGTTTCATGCCTGAAGGCAATCATCTACCGTTAATACTAACAAAAAACGTAGATAAACTGTTACAAAAATGTAAAAATTACTGAAGAATGATTTTTGATGTAGTAAACAAATCTATGTAAAAAACAAATCTTAAAATAAAAAACAAAAAGCCGTTATAGTTTACTAGTCTCCTGAGTCAAATAAAGAATTTTTTTGAATGTTTTTTCTATTCAGTAGGTTTTTTCCATTATGTGATAAAATAATATATTTTTCGTAGAGACAAAGGTGGCATATTTTTATTACTAGATTTTAAAGTTTGCAACATTTGACAATTTTCCATTTTATAATTATCTTTATGTTTTGGTCTTTTAAGCTCCATATTTCCTTAGATAGTTCTGTGTCATTTCTATACTTAACTGATGCAAATGATTAGAGATGGTTTGCGTATCTTAATTTAAACTTTGTATTAATAATGCCAAAATATACTTTTTTATTATGATCATGATGACTGGAACTTACGGTTGCTTGGTAGACAATATTGTTAGATAAACGTTGATTGTTCAAAGGGCAAAATGGTTTATCTATGCAGTTACATTGGTTGGTTTTTAATTGATTTTTGTTGTGCAAAATTTTGAACTTATGCAAATTTATGATAGATTTTAGGTTAGGCATGTAACTGTAGCTGATCTTAATAGAATTTTTGTTGAACATTTTATGTAGCTTTTGGCCGGCGGGAAAAGTAAATAAGAGCTAAAAACGGTTTCCTATTTTTATTTTGATGTTTAAGCTGAACAGAGGATTATACCAAATGATGTTATGTTAAAGATGCTTTTTTTATTGATTTTGATTTGAGATTAATTGTGGTTGGTAGGTAAGTTTTGATTTGTATCCCAATTTTTTTAAAGCCTCTTCATACATTTAATACATACATACATACATATATATATATATATATATATATATATATATATATATATATATATATATATATATATATATATATATATATATATATATACATATATATATATATATATACATATATATATATATATATATATATATATATATATATATATATATATATATATATATATATATATATATATATATATATATATATATATATATACATATATATATATATATATATATATATATATATATATATATATATATATATATATATATATATATATATATATATATATATATATATATATATATATATATATATATATATATAGATGAAACAAATGATAAACTTGAAAAATTAGATTGTCTGAAAGAAAATGAATCTGTATCTTTTTCAGTCACATGAAGGGCAAGTAAGTTTTAAACTATTATTTTCTATCAAAATATCAATTTCATTGTAAAAGTTTTGTTTCTTTATATTCTATATTTAAATGGGGTACAATTATTAGGTCGAATTAAAAATTTATATAATATTTTCGTAGAAAAATATAAAATTGAATAGGTGGGGAGTTAAATAAGTTGTTGAATAATGTTTAGAGGCACAATAAAAGTTGCATAAATTTTTGTTTAGGTACTGATTAAAAATAAAAAGAATTTATTTATATTTTTTAGGATTATGTATGCCGCGAAACTATTGAAACAGTTTACCCAGATAGCTCCTCTATAAGATTTCAAGATGATAGTTAGCAGAGTATATAATTCAAGTAGATAGTCCAACAAACTGTAAATGTTTAATACAATGAAAATCAAAAATATTGCTCTGACTAGCATGAGACATCAAACAAGTTTAAGAGAAGCAGTGTCTTTAATATATTAAACCTTCTACAATATCTAATTGTAGAAGGTTTTTTATAACTTAAAGGGATGTGAATTAACAAAATATATATATATATATATATATATATATATATATATATATATATATATATATATATATATATACATATATATATATATATATATATATATATATATATATATATATATATGTATATCATTTTTTTCTAACAACAATTAAAGTCATTTATAAATGCCCACACTATTCTTCATTTCACTCATGGCACTCTTCTTCATTTCTAGTAACTAAGAGTACTGCAAGGTTCTATATTTGCTCCTGTATTTTTTCTTATCTATAATAACAATCTTCCTGAAAATCTTACATCTAAAGTGGCTATTTGCTGACAATTCAATTTTATACTATTGTCTTGAAAAGAAGTCTTCACTTTTTTATCATTTAGAACAAGCAGCCAATGTTTAATCTGACTTCTTTTCTATAACAGCTTGGGGCATGCAGTAGCTTGAGGATTTTAAATAAAAACAAACTCAGTTATTTTCTGCAAACAACTATTGGAATATTATTGACATTTCTATATCAAAGAATAACAACCCTCTTACTCTCAGACAAGGTCCAAAAGAATATTGTTATGAATATTGTTCGAGCTGCTTTATCTTTTTAAAAGTAGAACAAAGTTGCAAATTAAATTTCAAAATTAAAAAATAAAAATAAATTAATACAATAAAGCAAGAAAAAGCAATTTTATTAAATTTTTAACAAATTATATATTAAATTTAATTTTAATATCATTCATTTTAAATGTTGTTTTAGAATAAAGGTTTTGTTTTCATTTATAACTTTTTTATGATATGAGGCAATGGTAGGTTGTGAGTAGATTAAGGGTGACAAGAACATGAGGACTTTTTAAGGAGCACCTTAATAAGCAGATAAAAAGTTGCAAATTTATAAAACAAAATCTAAATACTCTACTACAACCTAAACCTTTCTTAAACTTTTGAAAAATCTAATACAAATTGTTAAATAATCTGATTTGATACTTTGTTAAGTAAAGATGCTCTAATATTAAAATATTGTAGTATTTTAATTTAACAGTTTATGTTCTACAACAAAGCTACAAATTATAAATAAATATTTTTGAGTTAAACTAATATATCTTTCTTGTTACAGAAATAAAATCACACACTTGTTAGAGAATCATAAAAAGATTTTTCTGTGGTCAATACGTCCCATCCAGCAGAGTATACACTACTATCCCAAGCACGCCCACACAGTTTCACTGAACAAAGTTCATTCTAACACAAAAACAATTGATTAAAATTTTCTAATTTTAAACATGTGTAAAATGAATAATAATAAATGTTTTACATTTTCATTGTTGATCTTTAGAGTATCACAAAAAAGATCACTAGCATGATCAGGAGAAAAAGTTAACATTATTTCTTTTGATTCCCCTAAAAGACAAAATAAAAGGAATTAAAAGGTATGAGATAAAAAATTTGAATAACATAATATAAAGATTAAATAAATACAAAATATATATAGATTAAACAATCTACTTTTGTTAAAAAAAAACAAAAAAAAACATTGATTGCTAAATAAAAATCAATGCTATGTATTGTTAGACAAACATGAGTTAATTGAATGAAACTTTAATACTATCCACCGATGGGTTTTTGTCAAAAGCAAAAAAATACTAAAAAAGCCAGGGTGCGAATTCACTGTATGTATGTATATACAAAATATACATATATATTTATATATATATATATATATATATATATATATATATATATATATATATATATATATATATATATGTATATATATATATATATATATATATATATATATATATATATATATATATATATATATATATATGTATGTATGTATATATATATATATATATATATATATATATATATATATATATATATATATATATATATATATACGGAAAAAAACACATACTGAAACTTTTTAGTCCCTGTGTAATAAGATAATAACTCTCAACCAGGAGGTAATCCACTGTAAAGGGTGGTAGCCCTCCTATATCAAACAATGGACTGTCAATTTTTGGCAGAAGAAAACTGGCCAGCCTTTGGTCAAGGAAACCATTCAGCAACTTCAAAAATATTGCACGAATGGTGTGGTAAAATCTCACAAATTCTGTTATCGCTTTCTGATCGAATAAATAATATTGAGAAGAACGAAAAACTAAAGTATGACCGCTTGCAACAATTAGAGTCAGAGAAAATGGTTAATGTAGAATTAATAAATCAGTTAAAAATTGACATTGCACAAACTAGCTCTTTAGTCAAGCAATCGAACACTAACGACTGGATTCAAGTTCAAAAATCAGGAAAACAAGCTAAGAAGCAAAACAATCAACTTATTATAGCAAATTCTACTATAAATGAGTTAAATAAGCGTAAAAAGAGAGCCAAAAATATTGTTATTTATGGAGTGGCAGAATCAGATAAAGTTTTTTTAGATGATAAAATAGCTGAAAATAAAGCAAAAGTGTTGCAAATATTTACAGAAATCGGAGTTCAAGACATAAAATTTGAGAATGTGAGACAATTAAGAAGTAAAAATTCTGACAAGCCAGGTCCTTTGTTGGTTTACTTGGCTGATTCCAATTTATTAAACAAAATACTAATTTCATCAAAAAAATTAAAATTGCTTCCAAGTTTTAAAAATATCTATATATCTCCAGATTTAACAGATGCTGAACGTCAACAGGATTTCATACTCAGAACTGAGCGAAATAAACTTAATAATGCCCTTAAGGAGACAGACCCCTTTTGGTATGGTATCCGTGGAAGTCAGATACAAAAATTAAAAAAAAAACCAATCGAAGTTAGGCAGTAAGGCTAATTGTCTGTTATCTATGAATAATATTGAAAAAATAAGTTGCATGTACCTTAATGCCACATCTCTTGACAAAAAATTTGATGAATTTAAATTAGTAGTTGCAACTTACAATCCTAAAATTATTAGCATTACTGAAACATGGTTCAAACCTAATTCTCTCTGCAATTTGGAGGTTTATTGTTTATATAAAAAAGATAGATGTGATGGTCGTCGAGGTGGAGGTGTATGTATTTATATTGATGCTAAAATTACTTCTTATGAAATTAACGATAATGCATTTACATTAAGTCAAATAGAACATGTCTGGGCTGTAATCCAATTTGGCAATGATAAATATCTTATTGGATGTATTTATAGACCTTATGATTTGACGGATATGACAGATATTAAAAACGTATTTAAAAATGCAAGAGAATATGTTACCAAAAAGGTTTCAAAGATCTTATTATAGTTGGTGATTTTAACTTTCCTGGGATAAGTTGGTCCAATGGTTCAATAAACTCTATTAAAGGATCATCAGATATTGAGCATGTTTTCTATCAAATAACAAATGACAATTATATCAGCATGTAAACTTACCAACCTTTCAAACAACAAATAAATCTGCTGTAAACATTTTAGATTTAATATTCACTACTCAGTCTGCAAATATAACTGCCATCGATAATAAATTTGTTTTAGGAAACTTATCCAGAGGTCATTTAATAATGTGTTTTGATTTTATTCTTAAAAACAAAACAATGAATGTAAATACAGAGGGAAATAAATTTTTATATAGAAAAGCAGATTATAATAGTATTAGTGCTTTCCTTACAAGTGTTGATTAGCTTCAATGTTTTCATGCCAAAAATGTTCAAGAAATGTATGACAAGTTAATTCATTACACTGAAGATGCATGTAACTTATATGTACCTATAAACACTTTGTTTGTAAATTCGTCATTAAAGAACCTGTGGCTGACTAAAGAATTAATCTCACTCATTAGAGAAAAACAAAACTTAAGATACAGAAATTGTTCGAGTAAATGGAAAAACTCAAATCTTTGTAAACAACGTAAAAAATTATCAAAAAGAGTTCATTTGAAATTTCCATAGCAAGACAAAAGTATGAGTTAATGATTGTTGATAAAGCTAAAAAGAATCCAAAACTATTATATAGATATATGAATTCACAACAATATGTTAAAGACTCTATAAAAGCTCTGAGACAACCAAACGGTGAAATAACTCAAGATTCAGAAAAGATTGCTGATCTACTGAACATAAATTTTCAAAACGTTTTTGTCAAAGAAAATAATAATTGCACTCCATTATTTAAAAATAGAATCAAATGATAACACCTTTAATCTATCTTCTGAAGATATCCATTATGATGATGTCCTTGAAAGGCTAAATAATCTTGATCAAAACAAAGCGTATGGAGTTGACAAGTTACATCAATCTATATTGAAAAACTGTGCTATTGCCTTTGCTCTTCCTCTCACAATAATTTTTATGGAATCAATAGAAAAAAGTCAACTACTAAATCAATTTAATTCAGCAAATATAACTGCACTATATAAAAAAGGTGACAAGACTGATTCTGGAAATTATAGACCTATGACTATATAAATTATATATAAATTATAGATATATAAATTATAGACCTATGACTGGAAATTATAGACCTATATCACTACCTTGTATTACTTTTAAAATACTTCAAGGCATAATAAAAAGAAAGTTGGAAAAATATCTTTGTGAAAATAATATTATAGCTAATCAGCAGCATGGGTTTGTTAAAAACAGGTCATGTACGACAAATTTACTTGAAACTTTAGGTTATATTACAAGAAATGTTGATCAAGGAATTCCTGTTGATGTAGTTTTACTTGATTTTAAAAAAGCATTTGATAGCGTTCCCCATCAAAGGCTTATCTCAAAACTTAAAGCATATGGTGTTAGTGGCTTGGCACTTGATTGGTTTCGAGCTTTCTTATCTAATAGAAGGCAGAGAGTTGTTATAGGAGATTATGTTTCAACTTGGGCTGAGGTGCACAGCGGAGTTCCCCAAGGCTCAGTATTGGGTCCACTACTTTTTATACTCTATATAAATGATCTTCCAGAGTCTCTGAAAAATATTTCAAAATTTTATGCTGATGATACAAAAATCATGTCAATTAGTTCTTCTGATGAGTTACATAATACAGTGCGATTTAAACTCTGCATATGCTTGGACACAAGACTGGCTGCTTAGTTTTAATATTGAAAAGTGTCTAGTTATGCACTATGGCTATAAAAATAAGAGATATCCAATTTATATAAATGGTTGTAAACTCAATACATCAGATTCAGAAAGGGAGTGACATCAAATTCAGAAACCTAGGAGTGATTTTTTTCAGATAACTTGAAGTGGAAAAATCAAGTATTATCGAGTGCAAGCAAAGCTAATTGCATGTTGGGCATAATAAAAAAATCTTTTGTTCGATTTGATGCTGAACTGCTTAAGTCCCTATATCTTTCATTTGTTCGACCGCTACTTGAGTTTGCTATACCAGTATGGGCTCCTTATCAAAAACAAGATATAATCATTTTAGAAAAAGTACAGCGTCTAATACCTCAAATCAGTAAATTATGCTATGAAGATCGACTTGCTTATCTTAAAATACCCTCACTTATTAAAAGAAGACAAAGAGGAGACATTATACAACTATATAGAATTTTCAAAGTTTATGATAAAGTTGAATTTAAAAAAATTTATTCATTTAAATCAAATTGTACTCGTGGCCATAGCCTGAAATATTCTAAAGAATTTTCAGTACATAAGTATAGAGAAAGTATTTTTTTTAATCGAGCTGCCGGAAAATATTGTCAGGGCTACTTCAACAAATTCATTCAAAGCAAAACTTGATCGATGGGAGTCAAACCATCACGGGATTCAATTGTCTTAGTGTGCTTAAAACCACACTCACTGGTATCAATACCAGTCACAGCATAAACTAATACTAATACTAATACTATATATATATATATATATATATATATATATATATATATATATATATATATATATATATATGTATGTATGTATGTTTTTGTATATACATACATACAGTGAATTCGCACCCTGGCAATTTTTCATTTTGAGAGTACCATAAAACTTAACTAGAATCATCTAGAAGCATTTCAATATATATCATAATATATGTTTTATACTTATTTTCAAGCCACAGTTTGGTCAGTTCTTGCTTGAGCAAGCCATAGTTTGTATTATCTATTGGTACATACAATTATCATTTAGCTAGATTTCTTATAGGTTTTATATATCCATTAATACTATCTGAATTTTGTACTAAAGAATTTTTCCTCCATGTTAAAAAAGTACATGAAGCAAACCTTTATAACAACTTTCTTGTACTTTTTTATATCAGGAGCTTATTCATCAATATTCCACTACAAAAACAATAGATACTGCTGAACACTTTATTATTATCAACAATACCTACTTTAAAGTCAATAAAAAGTAACTTAATTTAGCAAAAATTAATTGTATTTCCAAAGGATAGATTTACAACAAAACTGATGATTATACTATA